TAATAGCTGTTAGCTGAATTCACCACTGGGGTCAAGCTATTCCACCAACCACAACCACCTAAACCAAGCGGACTGTGTCTCTGTGCGTGTGTGTGTGTGTGTGTGTGTGTGTGTGTGTGTGTGTGTGTGTGTGTGTGTGTGTGTGTGTGTGTGTGTGTGTGTGTGTGTGTAAATGGACAGCAGAAAAGAGACTTGAGCCCTGGAGAACAGCAACAGTGGATGAGGTGTCTACCTTAATCCCCTTTTAGTCTTCTTATTTCCCCCATGGCCACTGCATTGTGATGCAGAATCACTCAGCCACCTCCCCAAGTGTGTGCGTATGTACACCCCATTAATCAAGTGCTATGCCTTGATGCAGTATCCGGTCAATTTAGCATCTCACAATCTCATTCTCTCCGTCTCTTTCTTTCCATCTCTCTCTTTCTCTCTTTCTTCCTTCCCTCCCTCACAGTTTCTACCCTTTCTTCTCCGTAGCTTTTCGGCTTTTTCTCTAGATCCCTGTTTGCTTGCTAAGCCTCATTAACAATTAATTACCAATCAGCTAGTCAAGTCACCCCTGGACCGCTGAGCTTCTCAATGATTCATTAGTCAGGGTTACACAACGCTGCAACGCATAAACACACTCACGCACCGACACACACACACACAAACACACTCAAGCTTTGTCCCTCTCTGTCTCTCTGGGTGTTTCACATGAGCAGCAAACACACAGACTTTGTAGACACACACACATTAAAGCAAGCATATGGACACATGTAAACACTCCCTCACATGCACACACCTGCACACACACATGGTGTCTGTATCCAATCACAGGAAATCTGCCTCTATTGAAGTCAGTAGCATGTGAAGCTATTTAGTTATACAAAGATCAAGTTGGAAATTCCACACAGACAGGGATCCCAGAATCTACGGCAATGTTAACTCGAAGGACTTCTCAGTGACTTTCAAAGTCTTGTTTTGTGAAATTCAAGAATTATGAACTGGTATATTTTCAAGACATGAATTAAAATAAGACATCACATACTAGGCCTCTTTACTTTGTGATCCTATTAAAGTCCATAAATCCTGGTGAAATCCTTCATTTTGAAACTGCTGTTCAACCCCAACATTCATCAGTGTGAGATGTTGATATTAGGATGGAGAAAGGCCCAGAGAGCTCAAGCATGCTGATGAATATGGTGGCTAGATTTTTAAATTAGAAAAAGGAACTTTCAAGGGCATCTGTTCATTTTCATTAATTTTCAAAAGACAAAACTTTAAAAGACCTTTCGGGTCTAATCCACAACTTTTCATTAACTGAAGAAACCAAAGACCAAAGATATTTTAACCTGTCTACAGTTAAATTTTTTACAAGGGAATGCAGAAAACTAAGACTGAATGCTGAAATCTTTTTCATATGAAAACCATGATGATATGAAAGTGTGCAACAGCTGCAATTTTGACCATAAATTATACACTTAAAAGCTCCTTGACAAGCTGAAGTAAATAAGTTTAAGCTGGCAACTGCTGATCTCATTAGTTATAATGACAACCGTCAATTCTGTCACTTGTCCAAATGTCACTAAGAAAACTCTTGGCTGTTGCTGTTAATAAATTCTCTGCAGGCTGGTGTCATTGACGCTTGGGCTAAATGTGACTTACTATGTGGGATAATGTTTTATATAGACCACAGACAAGTTTACTTTACAAGTTGACTTTTCTCTGACTGAGTGATTTGAAAATTCTCTTGGATGACCAAAACAACAAGCAACAAGCAACAACATCAATTATTAATTTTCTATCGTTCTATTCATGTTGAAACAAGAAAAATCTGTGATTATGCTGGGTACAAAACATATTTTATTTAATACTTCATAGTACAGAACTACAGGCCTGTAGTTTAATTCATAGATTAAATCACAAAATCGCCCCAAATCCCCCAGCCCTACTGGAAACTGATGTCTGACACCTCTAACAGCCAGTCTGTGCGCTGTGAAAATGTAACTAAGCAACACAGCTCAACATAAGGTCAGACGAGGACTTTGCTGTTGTAAATGTTCAACATCAGTCTGCTACAAACTCATTGACACAGGAGACACAGAGTGTGGATTTACTACCATTCTCTGGGGTCCTGTGCTCTTGGCTGTTAAACAAGGGGCAAGTTTTTATTTCTTTCCCCGTTCACGTTCTCCCAGCTGGATTCAAACCGGTGACCTTCCTCTGACCTTAAAACTTTTGTACTACTGCCCCTCAAAGGGACATTTTATCAGCGCCTCCACACGCCATGATCCACTTAGGCTAATGCAGCCCTACACATCAGCCTGCCCGAAGAAAGCAGCTGACCAATCGGCCACACCGTTGCCTTTGGATAACTTGGCTTTTGTCTCTTCATCTCTCCAGCTACTCCACTGTTTTCAACATTTCACCTCTCCCAGTGTGGTAAATTTCGTTTTGTGAATTTACAGCTCTCCCCGAACTGCCTTCACCTCTGCAGACACTGGTGCAGTCGCAGCATCATGGGACCGAAGCGGAGTGTTTTAGTGTGCGAGTGCTGGACTCTATTGTGTGTGTGTGTGTGTGTGTGTGTGAAGGAGATGGGATCTGGAGTGGAGTTAGTGGGTGACCTTGGGGCAAGGATGCACAAGCAAGACTGATGTATTAAAATGTACGCACGCACTCACTCACTCACTCACTCACTCACTCACTCACTCACACACACAATATCAATATGTCAAGCCCTGCGTTGCCTGATGTCATTCAAAGTGCCCTGTTGTTATGCAAATAATCCCTGACTGGTTCAACAGCACGAGAGTAAGGAAGGGAAACCAACAAGAACTCAAAAAAAATTTGGAAAAGCATTTTTTTTAAAGAAGTTCACGTCTCAGATTTTCTTAATTCCTTTCTTCCTCTAATTTTTAGAACAAACATTCAAAGACATCGCCTTGAAATTGTGATGGACATTTTACACTATTTTCTGACATTTTATAGACCAAAAAATTAATGAATTCATCAAGAAATTAATCAGCAGAGTACCTGATCATTTATTTATCTCTTCAAAGCCTTTTTTATTTAAAACTTTACATAACAAGACAGGTTGTATTTATGGCAGAGGACTATATCAGTAGAAATCGTCAAGAAATTGAGTGTCACACACACATACACTTGGAAGTTGCCCAGTGCAACCTATCACAGGCCGCTGAGCAGATCCACTGGAGCAGGTGCAGATTCAGTGCTGCGTTCAAGGGCATCTCAGCAGCCGTGATGGACGGATGAGTGCCTCTTGTTCAATTTATCTATTCTGATCCTCCATTGTTGGGGGATTCAAACTGGTGACATATTTTGAATTGTACTGTAGTCAAAACTCAGGACACGTGAGCACAACAAGTCAGCAAGCTAGAGTGAGAATTAAAGCTTCTTGACGCAGCCTGCCTCGTGTCTGATTCTGTTCTTTGTTGAGCCAGGTAAGGTGATATAGAAGAAAGGTGATCTTTTAGGGCTCCATAGCAAAGGAATCCAATGATTTTTTCTTGTTGTTGTTTTCGCTGCTAAGTCGCATTTAGCATTCAAATCTGTGATACATGAAACACCTGAGTTCACATGGTTGGTGCAGAATAATTGAGAATGTGTTTCATTGGAGGGACATTTGTTAACATATATGCTTTTGCTTTTTTTTTTTTTCCAACATCAGCACCTTCCCTCACACTGTGACCCGAGCTGCACAGTGCAACAAAATAGTCGCCTGCTGTTGGTCACTTGAGCAGCTCCACTGTGGCAGCTGGAGATTTCAGGAAATTAAAAAAAAACAGCTTTACAACTCAATTATTAAGCAAAAATACCAAAAACATACTGGCTCTAGCTTCTCAACTGTGACGTTTTGCTGCTTTTTTCATTGTAAACTGAATTGTGAGGCAAAACAACAAATTTGCTCATCACATAGGCTCTGTTGGTATCAGATGCATTCTTTCTTAGGTTTGTATAATGTTATATGAGATTTTTTTTATCCCCCTTTCAAATACACGAGACAATGCAGACTGAAGGGTCAAATGTTTCTCCTGTTGTTTTAAAGAAATCAATACTTTGACTTAAAGCTCAGTTTCTGTATAACTCCCCAAAGAACTATCAAAATGTTCTAAACAACCATAAATAACATGATCTAACGCTATTTTGACAGTGTTTTGACAAAGGCTACTTTATTTACATAGTGGCCTGAACTCACAACAAAATGGTAGACACCCCTACAGTACTACTCCTGTATATAAAACTCCACAAACTGGAGTGAGAATACAAACCAGAGATGTGGAACAGCAGGTGGTAGCCTCCTGAATTACAAACGGCCCAGAGCTGTCTGCTCAGCTGCACAGTTAACATTTTAACTCGCACATCTTGTCAGGGCAGCGATGATGTCGATGCTGATCTGTCTGAAAACAGACGCAAAACCCTGACCAGGCTGGACTGAGCCCAGTTTTATCAAGGATCACCACAAATCTACCGCTGCGCGCCAGAAGCCATATGACGCACACCTGTAACCGGTTCTCTAATAATAAACAGAAACGCCGCTGCTAATTTACATTTGAAGCATGGCAACAAAATCACTCAGGTCAAGCTGGATTTGGCTTAAAGATGATTAATCACCACCGGAGGCTCGATTGGTAGCAGTGGACTCGTGGGATGCCGCTTTCTGGGGCTACAATGGTGCCAAGGACTGTCATAATAATGAGGGTAAAATATACGCCACAGATGACACGCACGCAGATGGCGCGCAATTGCAAGGCAGAAGAGAGGAGAGTGTTTCATATGGCGGCAATAGTCAGCCATGTGAATATCCGAGGCAACTTGACGGTGAATTGGTCGCAGCCTCTTCGACTACCCGGGGAACGGTCCGCCACAGAGACACCTGCGTGCGGATACGCAGTCGAGTCCGTCCCCCCACTCCTCCTATCAGTCTGTGGTGGTGTCATTGTCGCAAGTAGCAACAAATTAAACAGGTTTAAAAAAACACACACACACACAGCGCTCACCTCCTTGGTGTTGACGATGCCTTTGACGTATTTCCCGAGGACTGAATCCACGCAGAGGACGCTGGACAGCACGGCCAGGCACAAGAGTCGTTCCCCGACCCTCACCTCCATCTTTCTCTCTCCCCCGCTGTCGCTCGTCTGCTCTCCGGGCTCCCTGAAGCCTGTCGCTGAGCGGGAGCGCGCACGGAGGAACGGCTCGAGCAGAAGGGGCGCGAGAGAGAGAGAGGAGAGGAGAGGAGAGAAGAGAGAGAGAGTGATGAGAGAGAAACTGGGCGCGTGCACGCTGGTCCCTTTCAATGCATGTGGGCCCCCCTCCAGCAGTTGACACTGGATGGATGGTGGTGTGTGTGGCTGTTTGGGAGGAGGAGGAGGAGGGGTGGGTGGGAATGGGGGCTACGGAGTGCGCGCGCTTCCCCGGTTCCGCTCGTGCTTTGAGAATGCGACACGTCCACACATTAAAAATGCCACTGCTGATTGCAATCATGTTTTCATTAGAGGTCACACACCTCTAATGAAGTAGCACTGAGACAGATGATGCCTGGCCTCCTGGCTGAAATTATTATATCACTGATCAGCAGGATACAGGATAGGCTATAATAGGATGCATTGTTAATGAATTTCACTGTTTTAGTTTTAACATTTCAGTCCTGTGTCAATGCAGAATTAAATAAAGTAAAAGTATAGGCTTTTAGCTCAATGTAAAATCAAAGTATAATTCAAGCATTCAAAACTTTATCCAAGGAAAAGTACTGTACAGTACATGACAGTAAAATGTACTTTTCTTTTATGTAGATGTGGTACCCAGTCAAAATGGAGTTACGTTTTGCTCATTTATATAGGCTACTGTTAGGTAGTTTAATCCATACAAAAGCATATTCTACAAGGCCATTGTGTTTTGAATGTTAAATCTTTATAGATGCCAGATGAATGTAGTCAAGCGAAGAGTACCATGTTTGCCTGTGAAATGCAGAGACAAGTAACATCAAATGGAAATACTAAGTAAAGTACATGTACCTCAAAATGTACTTCTTTACTTTCTTTGTAGAGAAAGTCTGATAAATGAATATGGCAGAGATAACTCTCCATTGTCTTTCTGAATTTGATCTGACACTTTATATGTTTAACAAAAGGTCACCTTTTTATTATTGACCTTTTCCCCAAAATCCTGAGTGAATGAAGATATTGGTGAAATTTAGTTAACAGTTTTCAGAGTTCACAACAAATCATAATCATGACTTACCAAAATCTATCAGAAATACCAAGAATATCAGGTCAGATAGATTGAATTATAATTACTTTAAGTTGACCTTTTGTCTGACCAGTGGAAGGAAAGGGTTTATTCATGAGCTTGGACACAACAGGTCGTTCATGGGAGAATATATTTATTTAGATAAAAATCAACAAAAGAAGAAACCAGCCTGCTCATGGCATATCCGACACAGACACTCTAGTATGAAACCTGCAAAAACAATGCAGTCAAAACTCAATCAATCTGCAATCATTCTGATTAACAAATCTTAAAGTAAAAATATCTACATGAATCATAATGTTTAATATACATTCTTTTTTTGATTCACAGGTTTGCACTTGTGGTGTTTTCAATAAAAGAAAATGAAAAAAAAGTAAAAAAACAAAAAAAAACAAAACAAAAAACAAGTAAACTTAAAACAACTTTGTTTCCAGTCTATGGCTTGTTTTTCTGTTTAAAGGCTAATCATATTCTACATCAGAACTGCATTTTACAGTGCGGAGCAACTTGCATGTGCAGTGCAGACAGGCTACGACACTGACTAGCACCTGCATTTTCAGTTATACCAGTTAACAGCAAACACTAAACGGCAAGGACAGTACATCTGTCTGACTGACTGCAGTCTTTGGTTCTGCTTGAAACTAACCATAAATGAAAGAACAGCAAAAATTAAAACATCTAATTGATCGATTAAATGAGATTTTCTCATTAGGAAACATTTTGCAGAGGTGCTTGAGGTCAGTCCAACACACTAATACATTTGTAACATGATTAAGCTTCATCTCATTAAATCTACTACTTTGAAACTAGTTTTGCGATATTAAAGTTGGTATGCTAACTATGAAATCCAACCTTGAGGTGATTAAAACACATTGCACAAAAAAACAGCATTACCACATTAAACAGAAACTGTGACAAGAGAAATGGTGTGATGGTGTGATGCTGTGTGCGTGTGAGTGTGTGTAAGTGTGTGTGTGTGTGTGTGTAACTGCATAGCTTAAGTGTAAATGTTGACATAATGGTTGAACCAACTAGCTCATGTTTGCAGCAGCGTAGCATTTTGCATTGCACTTGACCGAAATCAGCTTGGGGCAAAAATCTCTAGTGAGAGGAGCGTTCGAAGTGTAGAGGTATGATGTATAACCTGATAATTGAACTACCAAAAAAGCAATATTACACTGATCCACTAACACTAGTTTGAACTCAACAAGGACGATTTGAAATTATGAAGATGTCATGTGGATTATCCACACATACACACTGTGAAGCAGCAACACTAATTGAAACAATATTGAATCAAACATTTCAGCTCATAGTTGCAGGCAGCTTATAAGCACAATAATGTCAGGAATGGGAGAACTAAGACTCATTCTCTGCAAATTCATCTGTCCAAAACACCAGATGGGCTCTCTGGTCCATCACCTGCACTCAGCTTAGCCTGATGCATCAGTGGTCACCAAGGGTGAGAGGCATATGAAGGTCAAAACACAAGAAGTGAATGAATAACATTTAAGATTTAACACATAAGTTTTTTTTTTTTTTTTTTTAAAGTTTTCTTGTATTCACATAATTCAAACAACAAGGTGCTAATGACCAATCAACCCTTCTGGGCTTCATAGGCGGTGGAGTTTTCAGTCAAGTCAATGTACATCACAAACAAAAACTGTTGTGCCATAGAGGTTTGATTTCTTCATAGACGCTGCTCTAAACAACAGATGATTAATTCTCTGGATAGTCTCTTGACTGTGAAGTGCCATTCCTGTCTTTATGTGAACACACGACACAAACAAAGAGGACGTGTCCCATGTGTGAGCTCATGTTTCTCACACAATAGAGACTGGTGTGATCACATGAATGTGCACATGCAGACTCCACTTGAGCCACACATACAGGCACTAAGCAACGAAGGAAAAAAAAAAAAAAAGTGACATGTATACAGGCTCAAGCTTAAAATACACTTCACGGATTGACAAACCAACTGCTGCAAAAGTGCAGAGTGAGCATAAACAGTGGCTAGTAAAGCAAGTACAAACTTCAGCCCAGCATTTCTGAGAGAATGAGTGTATTACTTTCTTCCTCCTCAAGACCCTGGTTGTCTCCATCAATCTGACTAAAAATATTGCAGTAAATACTCCAAGCTGACAGAACTGAGCATGGCCTAATCCTGTAGCATGACTTTGCTGCTAAAATTCCTGCTCTTCTACAGGGGGGAGGATTTTGCACTCGGAGCTTCAGCTAAATCCTATTCATCACACAGCATCCCTCTCTACAGACCTGGCAACCCCAGCCCTGTTACCAGGCAAGGGCAGGACAGTGCCAGCATTGTTGGCATCTATATTTAGTTGGACCTGATAGAGGAACTGACCCTCAGAAGGACATTTTTGTGCACTTCAAAGTGCTTCGATGGCATCACGCTCAGAGGAGTGTTCTCAGGTTATTGAAAACAAAGTGAACCCCAAACGTGATGATGGAGAGAAGGAAAAAAAATCTGGACAGCCAGCCACTTTTAGTTGACCAAATACAAATTCAGTGGCTTTTACACTGCACTCTTACAATCTCTTTTCTTGGTCAGTATCTTCAAGCTTTGCCTAAAAGCCTCCGATTTGTGGAAACAGGTAGTCAGGCATAAAATCTCCTGGCCCGAGAGAAGTGGTACTTTGACACATGCAGAGAAGTAGTGAGAAATAACGCCTGGCCCTGGCGAGGAATGGGAACAACCTGAGAGCAAATCAGTGCTTAAAATGTGTATTGATAGTTGAGGGCTGGGCTTTTTTGTCACCCCCATCCCACTCCTCTTACTACTGTTCTGCAGAGGCAGGAGGTCAAGCAGCTATTTCCAGTCTTAAAATAATAAAAATAAAAACATTTAGCCTCTTTCAGTCATCTCAGAGCTGAGATCTTTGAAGAGGCTCTTTAAAGACTTGAAAAGATAGAGACCAACTTTTCAAGCATGTACTTGTGTTCAGAAAATAGTGTATCTCAGTGCATCTCCACAAATTTCACTATAACAATCAACAATGCGATTTTTGCATTTGCAATATCAGCACTACAAAAAGCACCAGGCGGCATCTAGGTAGGGCACCGTCTCCCCTATCAGTATGCATTACTGAGAGTAGGATATGAGTTTAATAGGAAAGTCTGGGGATGTCCGAGCAGCTGTGGCTAAAGAAGAAGCAAAGTAAATATTGAGCACATTCAAAAATGTGGCATAAACAGCATAAGATTACATTAAACAAACAATGTAGTGCACAAATCAACAAAGTGTCACGATTCATGGATTATACTACAGCAACAGAAAAAAAGATATAAATAACAAAAGTAATACTAATGCATAGGGTTGATAATATGATTGAAAACTGCAACAGAATCTCAAGAAACAAGTAAACCTATTAATCCAGTTTCGAGTCTTTCAGTCTGTTGTATTTTAACGTCGTAATTGAATTTGGGAGAGAGTCAACAGAGTTACTATCCACAAAGTGAGCTGTATTGACTGCCAAACTGCCGTAATGGAGAACACAATGCAGAGTTATTATGTGTGATTTAGAGTAGTTCCCTAAAGGACAAGTGGCCATTTTGATAGGGATGACTCTATACAGAAGCATATAGTGTGCCTACCACCATCTGATTAGAGCCTTAAATGACTGCCTTGGCCTAGATGAATCACCCATTCAGGCTTCGTCTCAAGAATCTTCTGCGCTACTTTATGTCCGAGCCTGCGCCACTGAACAGCAACTCGATCAAGTATGTGTGCTGCATGTGTGGGTGGGTGCTGGTCTTTGATCTAAGGAATGCTAAATTACCATTTTATTCTTAAACATGACTGTCTTCAGTGGGTGTGTTCGTCTGGTCTGCCAAAGTTGCGTCAGCACATGATGGTGCACAGACAAGTGGCAAGAATTGTAACGGAGAGGACGTCACATTTCTGTCTCCCAAAAAACTGGGCATTCTCCTAGACTGCACCCTTCGCTCCTATCTGTTTTTAGGATGCTTTCTCTCTCCCCTCTTTTAGACACTGTACTGCCTAAATTTGTCTGACTTTCATTTACCCTTTCTTCCTTCACTCCTCGGTGTGAACGGCAGACCTTTTTTTTTTTATCTAACCTTATTTAAGCCCCAATACCACCAGCGTCAGTGTTATTCTGGGCTGCCACAGCAACTAAGCCCTCCCCATCAGCAATTTTAGCCCCTCTCCCGACAGCTAGCTCTTCTCCCTCAATGGGGCCAATGTAGAGAGAAGCGGCTTCCCCAGAAGAAGCTGACACACCCCTATCGGTCCGTTCCAGCTTTCGGTGCTTGCGCGGCTCCGGGGGCGTGTCCTTCTGGGTGAAGACGGCGCGAATTCGCTCCACGCAGACGTTGGCAGCCTCTCTTGTCTCCTTGGAGAGCTGCGATAGGCTGAGGAAGCCATGGGGGAGGTCGTCCACCACACACAGAGTGACAGGCTGGTCTATGTTCCTCAAACGCTTGGCAAACATCACAGAGTCATCCAGCATGGGGTCTAATGCGCAAGCCTGAGATGGGGAGAGAAGAAGAAGCGAGGGGGGCAGAAGGGGTAAGAATGGTGAAAAGCAAATTAGGATTCCCTTCAGACATGTCAAGAATCTTAATTAAGGGATGAAGAGAATGAAGCCAAGCGTCCCAGTCTCTTTTGTCCATGCTTTCTTTACATTCTTGCTGACTCACTCTAGCCACTTTAAAATCAGCACCTCATTTTCATATGAACACCCTTTTCACAAGGGAGAACAGTCTTCAACTTCACCCATCTCTACCATCACACTCCATCTCACTGACACAACACTGTATAACAGTGTATAGTCCTGGGTACTGTGTATCTCTTAACATCTTGAGGTTGTCTTGTTTTCTCGCTCCAACGCCGTCTCCTCCTCCCTTCTCTTCACCATGATAAACAAACAATCCTAATCCTGCTCTGCTCCTACAAGCTTTAACAATTTCATATCAGCAGGTTTAAAACCTGTTTAATTGGCACATGAACAATCAGCCTTCTCACAGAGGATCATATGTGCAAGCAAATGCAGAGAATTGCGAGGACTCAAAAGGTCTTCAATGCACTGACTGACATCTTACCTAACACTCAAGTTGATTGAGCAACCTTTGACCAACGTGTCATCTTATTTAACTGTATGAATGCCCTGTTTCCCTGTCGTGCTGTCAATCTTTCCAACTGCTGGTTCTTCTTACCACTATATGTACAGGTGGCATCCCTTTCAGCATGCTATCAGGGGCCAGCAGAGGTGAACAGTAAGGATCCTTGACCACTGGAGAGCTCTCCACCCTCATCTCAGCCAGTTGCTCTGAACGCAGTGGCTCAAACCCCACGGGAAACTCCCTGGGGTGCTCCAGCTCTGATCCCTCCTCTCCAGCAGGGGGTGGTATGGCCACTGAATACAGGTCACTGGACATGGAGGGATCCACATCCTTGGAGAGGAAGAAATTCACGTCTTCTGGCTACATGAAAGAAGGGACAAGAAATTATTTAGGTGAGGTTAGAAGGCACTGAGGGAGGGAGCACAAGGGAAAATCTAATACCAAAGGTATAAGAAATAAGAGGAAATAAGGCATAAAAACATTTGACTGGCCAACTTAGTTATATATACACACACATGCCACACTTGTCCTTGTGAAAATCTTCTAAAAACCTTGGCTCAGTGCCTGAGAGTCTTGGCTGAACAATCCCCATTTCAAGGAGGAAAAGCATATTTAAAATCTTACGTCACCTCTGCTTGCTATTTTTCCCGAGCCAGCCGCTAATCTAGTCTCCCTGTATGAAAATACATTTGAGGATAATCTGCAATACCTTTCCAGTTCCCGCACAACCAAAAAGTTTTGATATTCCGTCAGCATTTTAAAGCCAAGTCTGTTTATGAGGGATAGGTGACATAATCTCAGCTGAGTTCATCGAAGTAAAACATACACATCACTGCAGGGTAGACAGTATTGTATGATACGGGGGCAAAATATCTCTATGCTAACAAAATGTTGCTAAATCCATTTAAGGCAAGACGTATGAAAGCAGAGATAATCTGATTATAAATAGGAGGCTGGTGTGAGTTTCCTTCACTGCAAATGGTGCAATAACCATCGTCAAATTACAGACCTTCATTTAATCACAGGTTAAATTCTGACTAATAAGCAAGTGTTCTGTTCCATTAGCTGCTTGATACTATTAACTTCTTCTGGATAAGAGCATCAACTGAAAGCATTCTAATCGCAGTGTAAACATGTTCAAGTGTGACATACAGCACGCTCAGAGAGCAGCGGTGCACTGTGCGAAGTGGAGCTGTTGTGGGATCCCAAGTCCTGGCAAGTCTGGCTCTTTACAGATAATTTCCTGGAGGGGAACTCTGAGGGCTCTGCGGGTACAGGGGGGTCAGCGTGAGGAGAAGAGATGGACGCCTCTGAAATGCTCTTTCTCACTGCATCTAAGAGAAAGAGTGAGAGAGAGTTAAGAGATTTTGCAAAACAAAAATTAGGGGTGTTTGAGAGAAAAACAACAGGAAAGTTTATTAAAAAAAAATGAACATTAACCATGTAAATTATAAGTGTATGAAGGATTGAGAGGCCAGTCTAATTCACTTCGGGCCAACAGCGGCTGGAGGTTACAGGAAAAAAAAAAAGCGGTAGTACAAAATCATTTTTACTTATTCTACTGTTTCCCTTATCGTATGTCCTCTGGTTTACAGCCAACAGTTAAAAGCCTCAAATGCAAATTGGGATATATCAAGAAGAAGAGCAGAGAAGTGGGTGGAGGAAATTCAAATAGTGCTGTCATGGTGATATCATCAGCCCGCCCCGAGTCGTCAAAACACAGCTGTAAGAGTTGTCATGGCTGGTCTCCTCACAAAGCACTACCGAGCTCCCATCTTTTTAATAATGAACCATCTCAGCACCATGATGGCCTTTTAATAATGTACACCCACCAATGACATTCTCATTAGTTTGGGCTTGCAGCTGTGGGGGTGTCACCTAGCTAAGGGGACACCAGGGAAATTACATTTTGCCACCAGATTTACGGTGGCTACAATTAACAATTACTGTCAAAGCCCTGCTGCTCCAAAGAGGTGAATTGATATGAATGGGACAACAGGAGTGTTTTGCAACAGGGTTGGATAAAGTGATAATTGGTTAGTTGAATGCTGAATAAAGAGTCCATGTCAATGACCTCCTCCATATGGGCTGCAAATGAACTTCGGGGCAGTTGATGTTGTTGTGCTCATATCACTTAAATAAATTGGCTCAATGAACACACTGAAAACGTGGGCGGTAAACACCCAACCACAAGGAGCTCTGCTCTGTACTTTCAGCAAATAGATATAATAAAAGATACAAGCAGATTGCATCTATAGGAAACTTTGAACACAATAGCTGCCAAGCAAAACACATTTATTCCACCCACATCTTGCCTACTGTTCCCACCTGACTGCACACGCACGAACAAACACACCCATATACACAGTCACAGAAGGTGGTATACCAGTGGCTCCCGGTGGCATCTCTGCAGCTGTGCCTGGGGAAGATGAGGCTCTGTTGGGATCCAGCAGAGAGTGGATCCAGTTGGAGGCTCCCTGTCGGAAATCTCGCAGCAGCAGCGCCGTGTCTCTCCTCACCAGGCTCAGCGTGCTCACTTTCTCTACCTGCTTCTCTGTTTGCGGCTCATTGCCTGGAGAAGCAGATATAAAGGTAGCATTAGGAGGGAAAAGGCTTTTTTTTGTTGTTTTTGTTATACTTGAATAAGCATGAATGAGTAACAACAGAGAAGATGGAAGAGCAATAATGGGAAAGGTATAATAGAAGTGCAAAAAACCACTGACGAAGTGGGTTCAATACTGCCACCGAGCAATTTGTATTACAGATAGCAATACATGGTGATGACAGTAGGAGTAAAGAGAAAATGATTAGTGTTTTAGTTCGGTTATTGAAAGGAGACACCAGATAGACTACCTCTCTGTGTCAGAATTTGTCATAGTTGGCATATTACTGCAGTCCTCCTCAGTTGTTCTTCTCTGGGACAGAATTATTCAAGAGACTTGCAAGAGTTTCCCCTGCATTTTAAATGCATTACAGCAACAATATGAAAAACAAACAGTATGATATTAAATTGAACTGTTATTGTTAGGGAAAGTTTTCCATACACAACTTTATTTTGCTCAGGAGCATTTTTATGGTGTAGAATATTGTACTGGAAACTTGTTTTGTCATATTTAAAGCTTTATAATTAGAAAGATTTTTTATACTACACAAATTGTGTACAGTGAGATCCAAGAGAGCTAAACACTGTTATGATTCATACATCTGTTTATGACTGCCATAAAACTAAAAAAGAAGCCAAAAAAACAAACAAATAGGCAGTGCAGAATTGATTAGTCAACAAAATATCTATTTAAATTTTTGCAATAAATGTAATTGTTTCAGTCATTTATCAAGGTTATTAAGGTCATTAAAAATTTGCTTGTTACAGTTTTAAAATGCTAAATAATGCTTGCTTTTAGCAACATTATGAATTGAATACTTTTTATTTTAGCTATTTATTTATGCTACACAACTTGTTGATATGATTACTACTGTTAACAAACCTACGACTAGTCTAAACTATCATGTTAAGAGCATGTATGATGTGAAGCAGATGGCAGAGACCTGATGAAGTACTTGGAAAAAAGGAAATGGAGGAAAATAGATCTTAACTTAATTCTCAACTCAATCAAATAAAAAAAAAAGAATCCTGGCTTGACTTCTTTTAAGAACACACACACACACACACGTCTACCTGCGTAGGCGCTGAGACACCTGGAGAGCACACTGAGTGGCAGCAGGGGATCCATAAGTGTTAGCAGACGGGAGGGCGATGCATAGGCAGTCAGCAGGGTAGCCGGGTAGGCTGCCACGATGCCATCTGGCATTCGCACACCAAAGGCAGCAGCGCGCATCGATGTCGTCACACACAAATTGCCACCCGCACTGTCCCCGGCCAAACATACTTTCTCTCCAGTCCATCCTGGGGAGATAAAAATGGGACAGTGAAAAAAGGAGTTAAGAAAAATACTGTGAGAAACAATAAAAGAAATCAAAGCGAAAAATTGAAAACTAAATAAGGGAAACAAGAAAAAAATCTGTGCCACAGAGTAAACAGATCTGTTTTTTTTTCCCCCACTGTAACACTACTGAATACGTTGCTGTGAGGGGGTGATGTCTCACTGACTGCCTCATAGCCACGATATTTTCATCTTGTACTAGAACACTAACATATTGCACTATAATCACTGTTAATTTGACACAGCGTGCATCAGCGGTCGGATGTACCCCAAACCGACCAGATGTCTATTGTTTTCTGCCTGAATATTGAGCATCAAAGCAATTTGTGTGAGACTGCAGAACAATGGGTATAGTGCAAGACATCGTGCTGAAGCATGATTACTTTCAAAGTGATGAATGAGAGGTACAGGGAATTGGTAAAGGTGTCAAAGTGGAGGATTTACAGACACAGTCCAGAGGACACCTTCACCCTGAAATAGGTGATTTTTACCCCTTTGTTGTGCCTGCTCATTACATCTAACAAACAACTCTCTTTTCTTTCATCTTATATTATATACATTATATACCATTTCTACTGCATATACATTCCCAATGACTATAAAAAGTAAGCTTACGGGGGAGATAAAACCCAGCATATAAACAATGTATAAACAATGTTGTGAGATGTGTTGGTACCTAGTAGGTGGTGGTGTCTCAGAGCCCAGCAGTAGGCATAGAAACATTCCTCCAGGGCCCTCGGAAAGGGAGCCTCCGGGGCGAGAGAGTAGTCCACTGACAAGATGGGGACACCAAGGTCCTGAGACCAACTCTTCAGATAGGGCTGCACAAGACAGAAGACAGGGATATGGAGGGGTGAATTTACGAATGGAAAACAGCCAGTTTCACATTGAATATATTATATGTTGTTAAATTTAGAGGCAGGCAGACAGAGAGTAAGATAACTGTGGTAGGAAAGAGATATGTGGGGGTAAACATTAAGAAGCAAGGATAAAAACTTAAGAAAATTATGTGTCCCTCTGATGTCATCTGTCTGCTTTCTGGCTTACTGTCTAGACAAAGGGAGAATGAGGGCTGCTCTCAGTCACCTCCATTTCCTCTCTCCCATATGGTAATAACAAAGGTGCCCACATGTCCTAGTTTGCAGAGTATGAAGGAAAAAGGCAAAAGACAAAGGGATGGTGTGGATTTACAGGGATAGGCAACAAAAACAAACTCACTGTCAGAATACTGAGTGTTTTTCTTTTTCTTGTTGCTACAGTCAAGTTAAGCGTTTACTATTCTCGCGCCAATCTAAGGTACGCGCTTTACTTCACAACTGCAATGCAAGTGACCTTGAAATATGAGAAAAGCATCAGAACTTGTCATGACAAAATATTCCCTCCACAAGCCATTCCTCTTCTCCTCCTCTGTCTTTATCTTCTCCCAACACCTTTTTGACTAGCTATGACAGGGCTGGCGGTGAAAGCGACAGCTCTCCATTCACAATGCCAGGAAAAGCACAGTGTGTGTATGTTTGTATGTCGCCTCACCGACCAGTGATTCAGTATGAAAAAAAAAAAACAAAGTAGCAGCTCCAGCAGTCAGCTGTGCCGACTTAAAGCCTTACCTGTCACTATAAATCTTAGAGTGAGAGTGGTGACAACTGAGTGTGCGCACAGTTCAAGCACTGTTCAGTGTGGGATTGTGCGAATCAGCCAAGGTACTCCTAACGTGTGTGTGTGTGTGTGTGTGTGTGTTCAACTGAGTGTGAACAACAGCCATTGTTGCCAGTCTCCAATGAGTGTCAACATGTGCCTGAGCCCATGGGCAGGTCTGTCAGTCAGACAGTTCATCATCTGCCTACATAAAAGGAGCCAAGTATTCACAAAAAATGGCCACCGGGCAGAAAAAAAGTATGTGTGCTTTTGTTGGGCTGGGACCAAGGCTGGTTAATTTTATATGACTCAGGAAACTCTTCTTATACACACACATCCTATTTACAGAGAAAACCACACACACACACACACACACACACACTTCAGAGGGTCCCAGATCTGTTCTCTAAGCAGGTATTAATGGGAGCTACAGTCCCACTCCTCCTCAGACAGGCAGAGTAGTTAATCTGCAAGCTTATGCCGCCACTCTCCAAACACTTAGTGTGTGTGGTCTGTGCCCAAGTTAGCAGATGCACAGATGCCACGACATCCATTTCTGTGATCTCAGTATCATTGGGCACCAAGAGCACCAAAGGTTCCTGCTACTGAAGTCGAACTCTCTATTTCGCCCAGAAGACAGGAAAGATAGGATCGTGGAGTAGAGGAGATATAAGGAGTAAAGGGGACAACTTCGCCTCCGCCCTCAGAGAAACTTTCCATTTATCTGCCCTCTCTTTCTTGGCCTTGCCTGAGGGATTAAGCAAGCAGGAGGCACCCAGTAAAATGAGCAGACAGGTACATGTTGCCCAAATAAGACAGGAAGGAGATGTGGAAAAGGAGACTAAGTGAACAAAAAGGATTTTGTGAGATATTAGAAGAACTGAGAGAGAGGATGTAACAAAAAAGGAGGGCCCTGAAGAAGAGAGAAGGATAGCCTGACAAGTCTTGCATTAGTTCCTGGGGTAATCTTTCTCTGCGGGGTTGTACAATTCTCTGTTAATTCAACATGACAGCCCTGCTCACCCCCTTCTCTGATTGTTCCCTCTCATCCTCTGGTTGCTACGCAGCTGCAGATCAAGGCTGCCCATGTCCTTGGTGATTTCACAGAGGCGTGTCTTGCAGTAGCTATAAGCTAGCTTGGTGCCACATAAAGATCGCACACAGCCACAGAAGACCACATCAGCGTAGGACAATCCGGGATAGATGGGGCCACAAACCTTGTTAAAATGATCTCTCAGAGGAAGCAAGCAGACTGATCGCTTCTTAAGGCTAGTGCATCTTATAGTGTCACTGGTGTAAACTTAAGATACAACTGCTTCACAAAACAAGAGTCATGACAAAAAGACAGAAAACCAAAGCTTATGTGTTTGTGCTGGTGTCCATTTTTCATCAACGTGAACTAGAAATTTAATATAGGACATGGGCTCCTCGTTTAAAAAGGAAAAAAAGAGAAGGGGAAGAAATAAAGTGAATGACAGGAAGCAATGATTTACGTGAAAGAGAAGAGCCAGCTTTGTGTGCACCTTACCAATAAAGAAGGCATGGAAGGAGAGCAAAGTGTCTCTACTAAGTTTTCAGGGATTAATTACAAAATAATTAGCTTAACGGTTCATTATGTACCACACCATTGACAGAGTAGAGACTCAGACTGGTAACCCCTCTGCTCCTCTGCTGTCAACTAGTGTCTGTCTCCTTATCACTTTAATTAGCTGGGGTTCAATTACAATTAGTCAGAGATAACACAGCCAGAAGTTGAAGTATTGAAGGGATGAGGTGATGAACTTAGCTGGATGACCAGTGTGGACATACCGGCTCAAATCCTGGAAAAACAACATCTGAGCCAGGTGTCTAATGGCGGAGGTGCTGAGTTGTCAGTATTTGGCTATGAGGTGCCTCATGACATAAAATACTACTTCTTCCTCCCTTTTCTATATCACAGATAAGTTGAATACTACCACATACAGATGTGAGTCAAAATGCTTCTTGATATTAAAATGTGAACGGTCTTTTGGAGTCAGTTTTCCTTGCAAAATCAAACCAATAATGCTGCTTTTCTCTTCAGAGTAAGGAAAAGACTTAATGAAAATGAGCGAGATCCAATTGGAGAGTACCATCTCACCTCATGGGACTTAGAGGTCTGGGCCACAAAGCCCCCCCCATGGAAGTGGACCAGCAAGCAGGGAGAAGAGGGGAGGCGCTTGGTCTTTAACCCCAGTGACAGAGAGATGGCGCCCCCCTCAGAGCGAGAGAGAGACAGCAGAGTTTCACTGTCCTGGAAAGAGTGAGAAAGAAAGGGATTATTTCAGAAACTGAACTAATACACAAACAATCAAGATCTATTGCAAAGGTCTAATACTTCAAAAACATCATGATGGCAAATCACTCAGAGGAACTGTCTGCAGACTGTGTACACAACAAACGAAACCTTTTTTCATTGTTAATATATTTTATTGCTAGTGTTAGCAACAGGGCTCCTTTGAGAGAGGGATTAACTAGCTATTCTGCAGCAGCTTGCTGCCAGCCCTTCCTGAGCCTGCATGAACGCACACTAATTCCCATTCATTAACAGGAACAAGGAGGGAGGGAAGCTGTGGCTGAGAGGGAGGGTTTCTGCTGATACAGGCTTGTATTTTTGCAACATTAAAAGGACACTGTTGTTTTGCTGGAGCGTGATCAATGGCTGAAAGTGTTTGCTGATAACATGTCTGGTTAAGTGCCAACATACAAAGAAAGGAGGAGAACAGGCTCGGATGGAGTGAGGGAGTCTCCCGAGAGAATTATAGTGGGAGGCAGAGTAGGAAAAGTCAGAGTGATACCTATGACAGAGAAATAGAGAGTGATAATGAAGGGTATTAAATCCATGGGGATGCTTTGAAGCTGTCGTTTACTTGAGCAGCTCATAGAAACACCAAATATCCTAAAATATTGTTAGATTATTTTAAGAATTTGTACAACCGGTATATGCAAGGTGGTTTAAAAAGACCCAGTGGAGAAAAACTAGGTCACACAACAAATACTCAGTACTTAGACAGATTACAAGGATGTAGTGTGAGACAAGAGCTGGTCTTGTCTTGAGAATATGAAGCCTTTTTATTGTGTTTTCCATTGTGACACTGTAGTGTAAAGTGAATGATGATGTAAGTACCTGTCCTTCACGTAAGTCATAAGAGATGAGCCTCATCTGAATCGGGGCAGTGCCAATGTGGGCTGATGGTGGAGCTATAGTTACAGATGCTCTGTGGTTGGCCGCCAGGGGAAGGTCAAAGGGCACAGGGGGCACAGAAAGAGCCCGGTTCACCTTAACTTGAGTGGATGTCATACTGGCGAGACTCTGGCGGGAGAAAGATGATGGAGAGAAAGATAGAAAAAGAAAAAGCAATGGAGATATAGAGAGAAAGACACGGAGGCAGAGAGAGTGCAAGTTACAGAGCACGTCAGGTCACTGGAGAGAAAGAGAAACTGGATGAATAAATCATGAACACCACTGAATAAATTGAATTTCACTCTATTATTACTAACAGCCTGTAGGCCAAAATGCATAATGATAGAAAGGTACCTTTACCAGAGGAAAGTAAAATATCCCTGATACAGTTTTAAAATTAAAAGCAGGGCAGTGTACTTATCTGTGCACATGGGTTAACAATGACAGCATGAGTAGATTCCAGATGTCTTAGAGCGTGTTTGTCTGTGTGTGTTCAAAGAAGCATTAACAGTCTACTCACCGACAGGACCTCAGTCTCAGTAATGTTCCAGAAGGTCTTCCAGAAATGAACATCCAGGTTCTGGGTGATACGTTCAAATTCTGCCCCTCTCAACTCTGGGTCGATGGCGTACTTTCCTGAGGTAAAGAAAGAGCTGGCTGCTACACCTGTGGAAGGGAGGACGGACGACAAAATGAAGAGGGTATACAATGCATAGGACACACCAGAGACAGGGGAAGGCAAGAAAAGGAATGGGAGTAGCGGATGGTTGAGGAAGTAGTGGAAATTTGCAAAGACAAGGATAGAATGAGAACAAAGATGTCACAAAGACAGAAGCAGTTTGAGGGAGGGCAGGAACAAGGGAACATTAAAGTTGCAGTGACTGGACCCTAGCACATAAAACAACATTAGAAAACATAAACTCATTGAGAGTGCAAAAATGGACAGTGAAAGGATGGAGAAAAGAAAGAAAGATGTTTAATGGGGGAAACAGAACGCTAAAACACGGCAAAACTCAGTGATGTGGCTACAATTGAGAACAGTTGTCAAACTCAACAGGGTGGATTGGCTTTTATGTCCTCACAGCATTATTATCTTTTTTCCAGAGGGATGTTTCAGGTCTGCTGTGCTAGTTCCATGTTAAACCAGAAGCATTTCATGGTATTAGAATAGAAAATTTACCCTACTTTTGATGCTCTGCAAGAAGTCAGGGATGGGTATTAAAGAAAAGGGAAGGATCTGAATTTTTAAGGTACCTCACACTAGTCTGTTAACTAAAATACAGGTAGAAGACAGCTAATGCAGCTTACAGTGCTGGGTTCAGAACCATTTAGGCTAACAGGAGCTGTGGGATAAAAGCAGCTTCTTCATGTAGTCATACTGACTCTCAGTTCACTGCAAAGGACTATGATGAAGAGGGTTGTATTCCAGTACACTCACCATATGGTGCAATACCTCCTGCCTCCACTGTGGTGCAGCAGAGAGCACAAAAAAACCATGAGAGTCAAACGATTCCTTTTTGAATGTTAAATATTTACGTATCTGTTTATATGTGCATGGTGCAAATGTGTATATCATGGCAAATGTTCTTCTATCTCTGTACGTAACTGTGTGCATGTTCAAAGCATTTTGAAATATAGAAGAAGCACACCAGCTAGCCCTCGAGATTCCAAAGGATGAAAGAGCATCTACAATCTAAACACACAACATCAAAAGGTACACAGTCAGGGGCCAAGGAGCAATGTAGAAGAGGCATGAGGATGAATGAGTACGATCTATGAATGACAACGAAGTGGCTGGATGATGAGAGGGTGCAGCTGCAGACAAGATGATGCTGACCTATTCCTGACTGATGGCGTCTGTAGTTTTCTCCAAAGGCCACAAGGCCGATAGCGATGGTCTGGAGAAAGGGCCGGATGGCTGGAGTGAACTGTAGGGAGGTGGGAGGGATGGACAAAAGCAAAGACAGACTTTAAATTCTGATCCACTTCCCATGGCCCACTTAAAAACAAGACATAAACCACAATTCAAACTGCAATCAGTCAACCAGAGAAAGTGAAACATAGGGATATCAGAATATCAGATGAGTCTTAGACATTATAAATTGATGCACACAGGACTAGGGATGTTTCATCATTTTTTCCCTGTCAGTTGATTTTGACCTCTGTCCGCTGAGGGTTCAGACTCTCTTGTTAAGCTCAACTAAGAACAAAGGCCATGGCTGTAAAGAGGAGCATTTTCTCCACCCACCCACGTCCTTTCCTCACTTCACTTTACTTGTAGGTTTGGGCAGATTTTTGAGTCTTTTGTAGCTCTGTATTCCTTTCCTGGCTTTTACATGGCACACGTCTGACAACTCTTGCTCTCTTTTCAGGGCTAATCCCTATATTCTAAAATGCCAGCAGGGCAGTGTTTGAGCACCTGGTGACAAATTAGTTCCTGGCCAGGGTTGGGCATCGTAAAGCAGTATCAGTAAAAGTGATAGTACCTTTAACATTTTATCGTTCAGGTACTTTAACGGTACTCTTATTGGTCATTTTTAAGAGGAACAAAAGAAACTAATTAAGAACAGAATTAACATTGCTTTATTTTTTCATTTGTACTGAATGCAAATTAAACATTCCTGAGTAGCAAACTGCAAAAGAAATTCATTAATGGTTATGGTTAATCATTGACCCGTGTTTATGTAATTGACTTAACTCTGTGTGTGGGCTCCAGGCTGCTAGCATACATACCTGGGGCAACGACGGACGAACTATGAACGTCAGATAAACAGGTCACTTCTTTTTAAATACTGATCAATACTTTATAATTGACAAATTAGGGGAGGCTTATGGGAAGATTTAGGGGAGCTTCTTTCTGTACTTGTCAAATCCTTATTTAATAACAAATATAATGGAATATTTCAAATAATGTGTTGCTTATCTTTCCAATTGCCTATCCTTTTGCCACACAGCCCATCTCACCTGAAAGCCCAAGCAACGGCCATAGAAGCACCCCTTGTGCATGGATGAGTATTCACGGACAAAGCTCTCGCTGAGGCCACTTTCATCCTGGAAAAAAAGGTTGCCATGGCTGTTGTCATGTAGCATGCGCTGAGCCAAGTAGAGCAGGGCACGCAGCTGACACAGGGCACTGCAGTATGCCTCCATCTCCCCTGCATTGTGCGCTACTCGGAAAAAGATGCTGCGGCGATTGGTGGTGATGTAGCGCCCCTTGTGGATGATGTGGAGGAGGCAGCAACGCACAACCTAGAAAAGCAAGAATAATGTAGCAATGAGATTTTGAGGAAAATCAAGGTTTTTTTGTTTTTTTGTTTTTTTTAAGTCAAAATTTGATATCTACAATTTGAAAAAATGTCACCAAATTAAATGACAAGCAAATTAGGTAAATTAATTTTACAAAATGATATATGTAATGATATGTATCTTTGACACAATGTATGACGAACCTCAGGTCAATATAATTTTTATGAAATTGAACATGTAGCATTTAAAATTATAACAAAGCAAACCATGTTCTCTAATTGTGCAATCATTAAAGAGGCATGTCTTCTGGGTCTGCTTACATTATAATTAAGATTAGGGTGGTAAGTTTGAAGGAAAAAAAAACATGTGATAGCATGCCCGAAAGCGAGCGTGTGAAAAGCTTACTGCTTCACCAGGGTGTTACAGATTACTCAGAGTAGCACTGTGGGGATGAGAAGGATTAAAAATGTAGAAATCGAGAGGCTAGAAAACAGACGAGCATTCATTTGCTGCTCTGCTAGACTCATTCACTTGTGGTGGGCTGCAGCCATTGAAGGTCATGATGTTTCATCAATAAGTATAGAAGATAAAGTACAGTGGTTACAGTAGTGGTAGATATTCTGCAGCTGGAGGAATTTATCTAACCTGATTTGCAACATAAAATCAATCTGTAAAACAAATGGACTGACCTTGAAACAAAGCGATATCAAGGCAGAGGTACTGGTGAGTAGATTTTCACAGCGTGAAGAGAATATTGATAAGAATGTATTGCGGTATGGGAGCTTATTATTGTCAGAGCTGCACTGAGTTGAAACGAGAACACATCATGATTCATACACACACATAGACCTCAAATCATTCCCCAGCCTACCTTGACCAGTGAGCGATAGCCGTTAGCAGGTATGTGTGGGTCAAAGTCAAAATGATGGTAAACTGCAGCGAAGCCAGAGATAACAGGCTCCAGACAGCGAGCGTGCTCCTGTATCAGCTTCATGGCATCCACCAGCCGCCGTGCTGCATCACCCTGCGACCCCTTGGCTCCCCCTGAGAAGAAAGTGGCATTTTCTTCGCACACGCTGTACAGAGTCGCAAACACTGCCTTGGTGTCCATCACTAGGGGCAGGAAGACAGCGAAGAAAGGAAGAGGACAAAACAGAGAAAGACATAAAATTAATTTCATACGTGTGAAGATGTATGTAGATAATAAGTTTATGGATGTTATTAATATATATTCCAGAGAAACACTTTTCACCGGGTCAAGTGGTAGCCGACACAGGGGCATGTATCTCAACGCCCTATCTTGCTACCGATTACACCACCCTTCTGACCCCAAATATATACATATGTAAAATCAAACACATTGTACCATTCTGTAGTTGTTAAAACTATACTGTCAGATGGTATCCGGTCCTGCAATCATAAAAAGGAGCAACCTGATCCCTATTCAGCACCAAACCCATAGCTGTAATCAGCATGTAGACACTGTACCAAGTGGGATAACATTGGATATATCCTACATAATGTTCTCTTACTCCTATTAACTAATCCCCCATAGTCTGGCGTATGAAAGCTCATTGATTGAAACGTGTTAAGCAAGCCTTGAAATTAAATGATGTAAATCCGGGCTAAGCAGCCAGAATCCACCGAGATCTCGGCAGACATGCGTGGAACAGGAGGAGAAGGCAGAGGCCCTTCGCTAACGTCATGCTGCTGGGAACCAATGCAGATTAGTCATACACTGACAAAAACACATAAACACACTCACATAAGAGTCCCAAAGGGAGGTATACAGCTGACAACACACAGCTGAGTGCATTCATCAAGTGCGCTCATATATCTGTCCTAACGTAGTATAACACAGCGCTATGTCCCTGTTGGATTCGCATTGTTAGACTGAGCTCCTCTGCCGAGTCACCTGAGAACTCTGTTTCCACAACACCTACTGTAACTCTGCGGTCTGGCTGGTACTTACTGGATAGGGTGACTGGCATGGTGAGAGACAGAGGAAAGAGGAGAGGGGACAAAAGGGACGGAGACAGCAGTGCCTCCCAAGTGGACAGAGAGAAGGAAAATCATTTATTTGTGGATGGATGGTGCACATTCAGTCTTAAATCGAGAGATAATAGATAATGATAGGTTCAAAATTACTCTTAAAGACTCTGCTGCTACCTAATGAACAGCAAAATGACATCAGCAACCCTTGGAATAAGCTCACACTCATCCTCAAAGTTTTGTTATTATAACTTCAAATAAGGCTACAGCAATAAAGTAATACAGGAAAGAAAAGTAAAAACAGCACAGCGATTTCTTCAGATCCCTAAAGCGACATCTTGGGATGTGGAGCAGAGGTTGCCTATGCATGCTAAAAAGTGAATAGATTCTACCAAAGTGAAATACTGAGGGTCAAAGAAATAATGGAGCCCTAATCGCACAATTATTCTGCTATTGCCTGCCATTCAGGAAGAGTAATAGGAGAGGCAATTTCAGTTTGCTGGGAGGAATCACAACCCCGACATCTGGGAAGAGACATTTATCAGCCAGCCGTCTTCTGCCTGCGTGCGCACCCACTCACAAACACACACAAACACGCACGTGCACTCACACGTGCACACACACACACACACTGCATGAAAAACCTCTTCAGCCGTTGCCCATCTTCTCATTTTCCTGTCTTGTGTTTCCCTCTCCCTCCTCTTCTTTTCTCTTTCAGGGAGAGCCTTTTTACCATGCCCTACAAATAAAGACGCACCTCTGTTGGCCGAATAAAGCTAAAGAGTTACCAATGGATAATTGAATCCTGTCACAAAAATTTCCTCCAAAATGTTTTGGTGATTGTTTAGATGTTTTTTTATTGTACAGTTTATTACACGTGTGGCAGGGGTTTCTATTTGGCTGTGTTGCTGTTTTAGGATTTTTATTGGTGTATTTTCTCATGTGTATGCATATATTTTTATATTTTGTCTTTCAATGTAAAGCTCATTGAGCTTGTAATGAAATGTGCTATATAAATTAAATTGCCTTTGCTATAACCAAACCCAGATGGGAATACTGCCTGGCTGCTTCTTCCACTTAGCCCTGGAAAACATTCCTCATCTGAACACACCCAAATGTTACAGAGCCGAGCCTTTTAACAAAACAGAAATCAATGAGCCACTCACAAATATGTTATATCACATATCTTCTTATTTAGCTGCACGTGTTTGTTTCCGTCACAGGCCAAATTTTTATAATTACCTCCACACAGTAAACCTTTTGTGTATATGTGTGTGTGATGTTGCCATCAATCCCATGGTGAATGTCCCATTGAATTTAAGAGGCATTCCTTGGCCCTGGGGTACAGAGACAGACTGAAACAAATCTGTAGAGCCAAATGAGCAGACTGCACAGGGCAACACTGCAGTGAGGATATGTTTTTCATTACAATATCAAATTCTATCCATCGCTGTAAAGCTTTATGAAGCAGCTTGGGGCCTAATTTCACATTGATACAATCATGTGAAAGGAAGTCTGTGAAGATTCTCAGCCATCCAGTTTTTGGATTTTCAAGAGGAGATGAATTGGAGGCAACTGGACTTTGTTGTAGACACTTGAAGATGTTTCACTTCTCATCCAAGAAGCTCTTGGGTGTCAGAAGCCTCTTGGATCAGAGGTGAGATGTCTTCAAGTGTGTACAACAAAGTCCAGTTGACATAATTCAACACTTCGTGGATGTGGGAATAACTCAAGCTGACATAAGCTCATGAATTCAAGAGATCCTCTACACTAAAACAGAATTTAAATGATATTAACTATTGACCATCTCTTAAAAAAAAAAAAAGAAAGAAAGAAAGAAAGAAAAGGTTTCAGGATTTGTCTCTACATGTCATCACTTTAGTTTGACTCTCTGCAGTCCCCCTTAGGGAATCCTCCAAACAAAACCAAGCTAAACAGGATTATGAAAACAATGTTACTTATATGTCTGGGTGGATGTTAGCTGAACACAGTCTTACGGGTATGAGGAGTAAAGGATCAGGGCGACACAAAATGTGTATGTATAAATGTTGCCACCCACTCATCCTGATATGTTAAGCAAACATTAAATCATACAAAAGCATCACATTAAAGGATAACTGTTTAGAATACTAAATACTAAAAACTAATACTAAATACTAAAAACAATTCAACAGCTAATGACACAACACCAATATAATTCTGGGATCTTTGCTCCATCTCAGGATTTGGCAAATAGCCAGAGAATGTTCTGAACCTGACAACAAATGAACTTGTTACTTAATGTGCAACAACTCAACTCATTATGTCAACATTAAACTGGAAACACCGAGAGACACACACAAAGAACATCTATAAATACACATTCATAGGTCTGCATAAAGACAATCATAGCACTTTGGCCTTAGTGGACACAGTGAGTGCTTTGGTCAAGCAGTCACCCAAATGCCATGCTGCAGGACCAGCTATAGCAGTCAAATCAGATTGGGCACAAAGCCAAAATTAAAATTACATTGCTTAATTAGAGCGGGGGGTACAACTCTCAGCTGGGCAAGCCAATAGGCCTTATGTTGACAGAGTAAGCTGGATGTGAACTTTATGAACCCCTGGATCAGCATAAGCTGCTCTAAAATTTGCTTAAGGACAATGAACCTAACACACATTACACCCCTTTCTAACTGCAGGGAGTATATCATATGCAAATATAATACAAATGAACACAGTTATGTGAACCAGCACCATCTTAGCAAGAGCTCACTCAGCGTTCAAACATGCTGTGCCCCAGTGAAGACTTTACCTTTGCTTGACATAAGATACACAGAGCATACTCAAACAGGGAAACAATAAAGCTGCCACCATACTGAAGCCAGGATACGTGTAATATACCATCTATAGGATCTATAGGACACACAAACCCCGACATGATCATGTCTGACTTAGTGGGGTGCCCAAACTTTTGAACATAATATAACTGTTTAATTTCTTTCTGTTTTTTGTGTTCATAAAAATTAACTTCATGCCTGTTTGCTGCATGGGTTGTTTTTGCTTTTTTCCTCCACTTCAAAAATCAACAAAATATGTCCCCATTGTACTTGTTCAACAATATCCTTTCCTGACTTACTGAAACAAGTGGTCACTGAAGGCCCATTGCAACCATGAAGTTGCACCTGGTCTCTCCATATTAAAGATAGATGAGAGTGGGTATTAATAAGTCATGTACAACAACCAACACCAGCGACATTACAGACATTACAGAAAGCTACCTGCAGGCTGCTTCAGGCATAGCACATAATTGATGGTGTAAACTAACTACTGGGTGGAAAGGCTGTAAGAGAAAAAAAGTGTTTACCAGCTTCTGAGTTCAAGGCTCTGTCCTTGTCTGTCTCCTCTCTTCCACGAAAGCAGTGAGAGCATGGAGGAAAAGATAGACAGAATGAGAGAAAGACCAGGAGTGGTGGCAGAGAGCACAGGGATAGGGTTCTCCAATTGGTTTTGTTCTGGCTCTTGCTGTCGCTGTCGCTCTCTTGTCTCTACAATGTAGCTCTTCCCCTGTCAGCCTCTGTATGTCAACCTATCATAACCAGTTCTCTTCAAAGGCAATGTGTTGTCCTTTTCTTTCCTCTCCCTCATCCCTCCCATGCCTCTTTTAAAAGCAGAGGGAGGTTATCCTCAACCCTAGCCCAGTTAACTTTCTCACTGTGACAGAGGGCTATTTTGCTATTGGCTGTTCCACTTGTAACGCCCTGTGACCTTCAATCTAATTGGCAGATCACAACAGACACAAGCATGACTTCATGAGATGATAACAATATTTCAATTGTAGCTTCTTTCCTTTTATTGCATCTTGAGCGCAGCATTATATGGTTATGGCTTTAACATTTAAGAATAATGAATGCACTTGTTACCAGCCAAAACAATTTCTTTTTTCTTTTTCTTTTTTTTAGAAGAAAAGAGAAATAATCCTCACATACTGCTAAAATGAATGTTTGGAAAATTCCCTTTACAATTATTAAGTAATCAAAATTGTTTGATTAATCAACTAATCATTTCATCACTAATCACTAGTCCTGCAACTGCACTCACTGTAGAATTGGAGTGCTACCTTTTGGTAGCACTTGTTATTGTTATGCAGCAGAAACGTGCTGTATGTGCCAATTCTTGAGAAATACCAGTGTTTGGCAATGAATGCATAACAGATAACACGTGCACAACCAAAATAGAGGGTGTATATGTATTTCAGAGATCTTTTCCTGTGGAAAATATGACCTTAGTTAAGGCTTTTTGGGTGATGTGAAAGACAGTCTCATAAGTCCCTCGAGATAACTGAACCCTCACCCACTCATAAAAATACAGAAATGAACATATCCAGGAACAATGAGACAAAGAGTCATAAACACCGCTACGGCCCTGATGAAAATATTGTTGTTTCTGTTATTGTAATTATTCACTAACTCAGAGGGTTATGTTACCCCACTTGTTTTTATTTTTGCTTGCTTATCTATAGCCTTATTTCATGAAAGATATCTTGACATGTCACAACAGGAAAAGCAAAGTTCTAGAAGAAACAGAAGGGAACTCAGAGAGCGCAGATCTCCACCAAGGCCAATGTCAAACAACATACATCAGACTTCAGAGAACTAACTAATCCAGATCTGCGTTAAAATATAATTAGTTATTCCCTGGCTCAAGACCCATCCCTCCACCAAGTTCGGTGCAAATTGTTCAGTACTTTTTGCGTAATCCTGCTAACAAATAAAGAGACACGGGTGGAAACATAACCTCCTTGGAAGAAGAAATAATAAATTTAATGATGGCTGGATTCCATCTGGCTCCTGCTATTGTGCACACTGGCTCACTGTCACACTGTTGTGGGTTACTAGGACACTGATCAGAATTTCAATCAATGGTTAAAGTAGTAACACCTGTTCTTTTCCTACAATGACATGTCAAAATATCAGCTGTGAAAAATGCCCATTAGCAGCACAATTAAACCCGTTAACACTCCCCGCTACACACGCACAACCTCAATCAGTCGACCCACCATGAGCTGGGTTCTGCTCGAGGCAGTTTTTCCTTTGCCACTGTCACCAAATGCATGCTAACGGTGAGCATTGTTGTTATTATATCTATTATATCTATTATCTAATGTCTACTACGTTATAAAGACTAAGTCTAGACCTGCTCTATATGAAAAGCGCCTTGAGATAACTTCTGATGTGATCTGGTTCTATATAAATAAAAACTGACTTGACTTCACTTGGCTTTTCTCATCACTTTCCACTGTTTAGTGAAACAGATATCCAAAAGGTGAGCAGATTTACTGTTTTATCAGTCCTGAGATGCAATCAAAGTGTTGTTCCTTTTTCCGGAAAAATCTGCTTGTTCATATTTATGGCTAGAAATTAGCAGTGGGCTGGTCCTTTTCTACTCAGAAAACAGGAGCAGTTCTAACGGTCGACCATAATGCTGAGAAGACTTGGAGCTACTTCTTACTGTCAGTATGATTAACTGTGCTGATCTTGTCTAGGCCATTTCTAAGCCATGGCTCTACTGTGTTTTTCTTTATCAAGCCTAAACAGACCCATTCTGGGGATATGTGAAGTCAGGGAAGATCTAAGTCCAAGGATATGAAAACACACTTACTGTTACTGGAGGTGGAACACACCAACACAACATAATATCCTCATCTATCTATGCAATTAGAAAGTCTCAACATTTGTCACAGGTTGAGACCAGGCAAGGTAAAATTACACCATTTGGCCTTTCATATGTTTTTCTTCTGCAAGATATGGCACGTGGTCAGTTTTTTTTTTGTTTGTTTTTTTTTAAACTTTGCCAGAAATCTGATACACAAAGGCCATATCTATAGGCAGCAGGCTTTAAAAATAGCAAACTGTGAGGAGTGCACTGGCAACAGGAAGCGACAACAGCGGGATTCTGTAGTGTCGTGTTTAGGAGGTGTGACCCTTCTCCCAGTGAGAGCACCACAAGGCCAAACTGAACAACAGGAAACTAGCAACAATGAGTCTCCACACTCCTTCCTCATAGGACACATAAGGCTTCCCTTCAGTTTTATGGTGCAACACCTTAAATTAGAAAGAAAATTTGAACTCTGATAATCAGATCTGATGAAAGCTGACCACCTTAGGAATCTCACATAACAAGTAAGATTAGGTAAAATCTCCTCTAATCTCATTATTCAGGCCTGAGGTTATTATAAACACACCATTCACAAATAGGTAGCTAAAAATATTTATTAGTGCAGCAAACGCATAGACAATGTATGACATATTGTTAGAGTCCTGACAAAGCGAAGAAAGCCCTTTGAGAGTAGTGGTGCTTTGGGACTGGTTGGATTGTTCCAGTTACAGTGTGACAGTGGCCTAGTTAACAGAATAGAGGGAGTTTGTTTAGTCATAACAGCAGATCCACAGCGCCTACAGGCAGCATCCTGTTAAGTCTGCTACCTTCTTTCACAGTCTGCCCATTCGTCACCATGTGTCTGCCTGATCTCATGTCACACAGACAGAACTAATGACAGCGTCACCAGTGACCCTATCAATTCGCCTAATCGATTAATGCAGTTGGTACAGTAGCAACAATAACCGCCATCCCACCCCCACCCCCACCCCCTCCATATGCCACACTCGCAAGTTAATCTAGTTGCCACCCCTTCCTTCCTTCCTCTTTTGTTTATGTTTGGAGTACCTGTTCAGGTGGGTCCTGTCAGTGTCCGCGGCTGAGACTAGGGCACAGAGCGTGAAAAAATGAATACAAACACAACGTGTGGCCACACGAAAATCTTCTACAGCAATGGTATTACTACAACTGCTACAAATAAAAGGTACACACATTAAAGCTGCGGTTACTACATACATGCCAGCGAAGGAGGTTGACCGGGCACTTCTTTCAGCAGCGCTGGTAAACAGTCTATGCACAGATTCCCTCAGTACCTACTCGTTTTCGTGTCATACAACAATCATATGATCTATGCAGCTGAGACAGACCCAGCGGCTTAAATCCTACTTGTTCATTTCGGCTATCAGAGGCCAGCTAACGTAGCTGCTAACGCAAGCTAGCGGGAGGTGGCAGCACAGGGGCGTCAAAAGAGAGACGTCATTAAAGGGAAAAGCGACAGGGGGGCTGTGACGAGGCTGGCGCGGCACAGAAAAACTCACCCACTGGACCCTCTTTGTGTTTGGACGAGCGTCTTCCATTCACACCTTTCTCCAGTCTGCTATTCCCACCACTCTTCTTGCTCGACGCCATCTTCGCCCACTCTGTTTACGCACCGCCTCTCAAGTCTCTCCTACATACCTGCCTGGGAGCTCTCAGGCCCCGCCCACGTCAAAAATGGAAGCCAATGAATGGCTGCGTCGCGCAACAGTAACGAATCACGACACTCGAAAAATCTATAAGCGCCCATCCCTATGCCTTGGTTGTAAAACTTGGTAAAGTGAAAGTGGGTTTTGTACATTCAGCACAGATGAAAGGGTAATATGTTTTCTTTTAGACAATTTACAAAGGAATTTTTTGGCTCATTTCACACAACTTTATTCTTTGGGCACTCACAGCAATGGCAGCAAGCAAATATATTGTGATACATCACCGTAAAATGCAAGAAGTAGGCTACATTATATAGACATTTTAATGAAAATTAAAAAAAAGATGATAACGATACAATCTCATCACAAAATCCACTGGATCTTTCAATCACATCATACTGTCCTCCTCAGCAGATACCCAGTTGCCTGAAATGATGTTGAATTTTTTTCAGAGCACTTCCAGGACTTCTCGAACATTTTGGCTTAAAAGTTGAGTTACAGCCTAATTCCATGATTATGAGGAGACTCCATTTGTTGAGGAAGATCATGTGTTACATTTGAGGGATAGTTTATAGGCCTATTTTATTATTTGAGGTTGCACAAAGACAGATATTTCTAGACTCAGCATCCTTAAATTTGACAATTCTATGACAAAGAAATTAAGAGATTTTGGAGCAGACACACACAACTATTTTTAAATTCATAAAAACATTTATATAGTGAATTTATCAAACATAGAAAAAAATGGAAATTTTGCACAACTTTTAGGTCTCTTCAAAATTATCTGGACTGGAGGGGCTTCTTGAACTTACAACCTCAATATTTCTCAACTAATACGTCCCTGACTGAGTCGACTTTGTGGTGAAACCGTTTCGTCAAATGCTGTTTCCAAAGCTATGAAAAAAAAAACTTTCCAACTTTCAGTGTGTGTGATAAAGCCTGGGTCTGTTATTCAGATATCACACACTTAAACCTAAGCTCTCAAAATAGACTGAACACTCTCCCTTTCTTTATCTTTCCCCTTTCTTTCAAGGTTTCTCCAGCTGGAACTCCTCTTCTTCCTCCATAATGTTGCAGACATCCTGGTACGGACCATGTGCCTGGGACCGTTCGATCTGATCATATGTGGTGCAACAATCATCCAGATTTAGCCCCTGGTGTATGAGATAAGTAAGAAGGAAACAAAGTAAACACAGAAAAATCAATGAAACATAATCATGTTGAATCGATTAGTGGCACAAGATAACATGTTCCTTCATAGCTTTGATCCTGTTTTCAGCAAAATTACTTGCACTGGTATTTCTCATATGCCTGCCATCATGTGTTTGACTCAGAGAGGATGTGACACATTTAAAGTTCACCTGGTATATGTTTTCCTCTTCCTTCTTCATCTTCTTTTTCTCTAGTTCATGTAGTTTCTTTGACTGGGGAGGGAAAACAGAAGTTGGTAAATCTGTGTAATTGTGCAACTTCCCATGACTGAAAGCCAAGAAACACTATGAGAAATATCCATTTGAGAAGCTTATAACTGTTTGTGCTAGGAACAGTCAAAGTAGGGCTGTTTCACAGATTGCAATCATTTCTGGTTTCTTCACATAAGTGATAAGGCAAAACCACTCTTGAGAAATGCTGGAAATTAACCATTGCTTCAACATCAAAGCTACAGGTCAGAGGTAGTTGAGAGATCAGAGTATGTTAATGTGCAGTCAGACATATCAAGATGTGACTGTCTGACCTTGAAGAGAAGGGTGGTAGAAGGCAATACCACACACAGTAACAGCAAGATTCCCTCAGCTGTCAGGATCTTGTTTTTGGTGCTTTCACTGAGGTTTATTGTCTTCTTCAGACGTTCTAGACACACAGACAGGGTTCAGAGGTGAAACAATCTGAACAACAGTTATGTTTTTAGCTGTTTAAATACAAGCTCTTACTTGGTTTGTAACAAGTGAGAGTGCACATTTGAAATAGGAAGCTGGAGCATATAAAAAAGAATCAGGCTGGTTAATTAGCTGATACACTTACTTAGAGATTTATTACAGGATTGATTGTTAGGTTATATAATTGTATTATTTAGTATAAACAACACATTCTAACATATACAACAGATGAATTAACAATTGATAGTATTGTTAGGTAAGGGTAATTGTGATCTTGTTAACTAATGCAGGTTATTTCACACATAATCCCCAGAGGACTTTAGTGGTTGTTTTAAATTTCCACATCTGCCATCCGCATTTAATGAGATTATGATGTAAAGTGGTATTTCAGTGTGGCAAATGCCTCAACACATTACCTTGATTGCAACTTGATCTAATCTTGGTGCTATTTAAAGTAAACGACTGGGCAGCAGTCTGTAATGAGACCATCCTGATGATGTGAAGATTAACTGAGCGACGATATGCAAGGATGCTGCCACTCACAGTTCTTAGATAGACTCTAAGGTTAACAGGATTTATGGCTTATGAGGTGTTAGCAGTTCTTAGAGCTCACTTGACTCCATCTCTCCTTTTTAAGCACACACACTGGCATTTCTGACTGGTAGGCACTGCAAATAGGACCCCTCCCATCACCATCACACAGACATACACACTCACTGTAGACGTGCAGGTAGGTGCCATGAGAGACGTCCCTACTGTAGTTCAACAGACACTGGTACAGCCCAGTGTCATTCAGCTGGACTGAATCAAGGGTTAGGATGTAACACAGTTCCTTATCTTCTTTGTCGAGTCTTGTAGTCACATTTTCCGAAATATTCACAGTGACTGGACCGATTTTGTTGCCAGCCCATACCCTTTTTAACCAAGTGGGATTGATCCGACGCTCCGTGGTGGTGTAGCAGCACTTCAGGTCAGCTTTGAAAGACAGCGGCACACCTAGAAAGGGCCTGTCCGCCTTAAAAGTCACCACACTTGGAGAAGTACCCACTGTAGAGGAGATTTGTTCATTATTTGAATTAAACCCGATATTTGTAAAGTTATGATTTCATATAATGCAATAGCATTATTTCTGTGTGTATTTACAAAGGACACATAAGGTCTTTAAAAACGAACAACACAAATAAATAAACTGAGTTGCAAATGTACAGCGTTACTGAGCAAAATTAACAGAGCAAAAACATGCATGCAACATGATAGCACAGCCATCTGCTCTGACAGGAAATGTGGTTCACTGAAGCAGAACTCAGAAGAGTAAAAAGTTAAACATTTTTTAAAAGTTATATATATACAGTATATACGTATATATATATATATATATATGTATATATATAGATATATATATATGTACTTACTGGACTGACATGTAGAAATACCTAATTTTCCCCTACAGATAATTGCATCTATTTGAATATAAACACTTTCACCCCAAATAAGAAGATGTCAGATATAGTGTCTTAACAAAATTAATCTGACTTACCCACAAAGCTGCAGAGAACAAAGACTGTAGCAATCACCATTTTTTCACAAATGTTCAGTCCAAGAATAAAAACTACTGAAACAAGCTCGGTACAATTCTTTACACAATGCTCCTGTCTTGACTGCTGCTGTCTTGACACACTGGTGTCCTGTTTTTGTCTCAGTCAGGATTTATGCTTGAATGAATTTGGGCTGTGACACATTTGCATAAAAGTTATACCTGCATTTAAAAAATACATTAAAAGAAATCACTATAAGACAATCCGAGTACAATTCATATCTACACACTGTCTTTACATGAGCCCCTAACCATTATTATATGAATCAGATCATAAAGTTATAACTGTCTTATAACTATATAAAATGACAAAACAGGTGTTTATTTCCCCAATTTATTTTAAAAAATTAAGAATTAAAAAACAAACGTACCACAATTTTCCTTAAGTATACATCATTAAAGAGCCTCTTACACAATAAAAATCAAAACCCAAATACACAATATAGTTCTTGCATATTCTTTGTTTATAGAGAGACAAGATGGCAGATGCCTGCATGACAAAAAGCAGTGTCTTTTTCTATACAGGGCACTGGCTGGCAGAGTAGGTGGAGGGCTCAAATCCTATTGCTGTAATGGAGTTGGACACAAAAACAGTGTGTTGTAGGCCAAGCTCCCAACCTTGAAACCAACCAATCAGAATCCTTGGATGATCCCTCAATGCTAATTGGTCATTTGCTCATCGTCTCTCACTGCCTCACTGAGATCCTCCATGAAAGACAGCCCACCAAAACAACAGTGATTGTGTTTGTAGACTCAAGAGCCCTTTATGAATCAAACAACTTGATTATCAGAACAAGGCACCACTCTATAAATACATTTTCTATACATCTAGGTATTTGTATATAGAATACATGAGGAAACGCATCTGGAGGAGAGAGAGGGAGAAGTGCCTGTAGTAGTCGTTCAGCCAGTGAAAAGTGAAGGTATCACTGTAAGCTGGTGTTAACAGGGTTTCACCTGCTGACCACTGCAGTTTAACTGTTAAAAAATCCCTGGTTGAGATTATCTCTTTAAATGCATCTCATTGGTCAGCTGGATGGCCACAGCACCGTGTGGGTTTGCGCAGTAACTTGCACTCTAAAGAATACACCATGGTTACAACATTTGCATAATTGTTAAATTTGTTCATGCATAGACAAGTTACAGACAAGTCCTGTCTCTCTCACCACTACAGCCAAATGCATAGTACATAATTACAAAAGCTTCTTTGAAAAACAATGAAAAAAAAAAACCTCCCCGACCCGTTTAAAGTACATCAAATGAAATACACAACATATGGAAAAACTGTGCAGTAGGAAAAAGGTGATCATGCTATCACAAGAGGTGAGCGTGTTATCAAGAGGTGTATGTAACTAATAAGCTTAATAAACACAAAGAATTGGGCTAATTTATCTAATTTATACTTTCTCTAAATTTTTCTCCTTCAAGGTAGTTATGTACAGTTTCTAAGAGGAAGACACCAGGAGAGGTGGCAGAAAAGTTCAAACACAAACTTATATAATTTAGCAACTTGTGACACAAGTGACTAATGGCACTGGCATTTGCATAATTTCATAATGAGGTTCAGTAGGGTCAGAGGGGGCATTTGTTGTTGTGGCAACAGTGATGAGAATGCATATCAGGAAGTGATCTTGATAACAGTACTGGTAAGAGTGACACTGGAATGAGACTGTAGGCTTCCTCCAAACCATCAATGTTTCCTTAGAATCTTCATCTGGCTTCATTGTTTTATTGCTCAGGCCTTTTTTCGGCTACTGGAACCATGTGTTGATCTTAGCACCACAAGTGTTAACAGTGCCATATCCAGGTCAGAAACAAAAAAGAGCTTGTGACAGTCACACTGGCATTTACTTACACACAGATACTGAAGAAAACTTTTCTCATTAATTTCATGCTGATGAAATTCACTGAAGTGTATAGAAGAAGTCCCGGATCTAGTTTGGGTTTGGTCATAAAGCCGAAGCAGCCTAACATTATTCTTGTACATTCATTTAAGAATCGAAAACCAGGTATTCTCCTTGACAACCAATCCTTCGTCCATTTATGTGCTTTTGAAATCCCTTTACCTAAGTTGCCACATGTTGGGAGTCTGGGGAGAGGGAAAGCAGCTGTTTGCATGCAGCCTGTGCTGCTGCGCCATCACTCCTGCATCAGCATCAATGACATGCTAATATACAGATGAAACATGCCACGGAAATGACAGCTTGTATGAGGATCTAACGGTGCTTTGTTATATCTTTGGTCCTGTGTGCATGACCACAGTTATGCTGCTACTCAGAAATTATATCATCATGATTAATTACAATCAACTGCTGAATAAAATACAAAGACAGAGCTAAATTTTGATACAAATATTGCTGCCAGGGAAGAATAGATTTTTTTTTTTTCATGAATAACTTGTGAAACGTAATACAATACAATTTATAACCAAATCTTAAGTCCGTGTTTTGGATCAGGAGCTGTGAACTCTATCTGAGGGGGAGCTGATGTTACAGAAATGACACTGGCACTGAACAAACTTTTTTTTAACACTTCTGTAACACTGGGCCCTCAGTGTTTGTAGATGTATATGCAAGCGTGTGTGTGTGTGTGTGTGTGTGTCACTTTTCGTCAGTACAGTAAGTAAGTGTAAACTAACCCTAATCTCATGTTTTCTACACATCTTCTCATGACCGTCTGGTTCAAGCTAGCTTAAAATAAACCAAAGCAACAACAGCTTAACTCCCTCCCCATCCCAACATCTGCCTTCTTCGCTCTCTATCTTGATCTTTTTTTACACATTCAAACTTTTCCTTCTTCTGTCTCATCTTTTCTCTAACACATTGCTCTGTCTTTTTGGCCCACTGCTGTAATACTTTTACATCTGGTGAAGCAACTCACTGACTTAACAGGACTAAATAAATAAAAGCGGTACATACAAACAAGACTCCATTATTAACAGCATGATACCTATAGTGCCACTATTTATAAATGTTTGTATGTGATCTAATTACAGTAACAACCCTCCAAAAAAGCACATCCGTAATAAAAAATATGTAACACACATACACACACTTTCTTGCATGCATTTTTTTTCCCCAATGGTGACGTGAAGCCCAACTGCAACAACAGTGTGGGTTAAACTTGTATTGATCAGAAAAAAGTGCATCTCTGTGGTACTTTGGCACAGACTAGAAATAACACTATACTATCAGTAGAAGTATTTTAATACATCTTCAAATGTGATATTCCACCTCGTATAGCTAAAAACTGGCAAGCAAACAGGATTTCTCCATTACTGTACATCTGCTACTGGCAACAATGTAATTTATTTTGTAGCGTGCATGTCTTTGGTGTGTATATGTGTGTTACAGCAGATTGCAATCTCTACATTATGTTAGGCAGCATCTCTCTCACGGCAAAAATATTGCTTTTTTTTTTTTTGGCACCCCTCTGCAAATACAACATCCCACTCAAAAGCAGGATGTCTAATTTTTTCTTTCTTTTTTTTTTTTCTTTCTTCTTGTAGACATCTCTACCGAGCATGCATGCAAACAGACACACATACACATGCACACCCCTCCCATGTTCCACTGCACTGAGCACAAAGCCCTCCCTCCCCTCCATTGGGCAGAAAACTCTCTTGCTCGGCTGCAAACAGCTGTGACACATACAAAAAAGGCAGCAAGCGTCCAGGCATGACTTATGAAAGCTCAGGAATTTCCATGGAAGCCTTTGAAAGTCACTCTTGCACTCCAAACCAGCACCAGTAAAAATCTAAAGAGAAGAAAAAACGAAGAAAAGATTAAATGTAATATAATATGTGTTAGGTTAAGGAGACTGATAAAGACAAGGCCTCAATTTCCTCTGGGAATGTGGAGGCATGTCCCCCTCACTTTTCATAATCCTGTTTTTGTCCCTCATACCTTTGAGGTTTCAATTTGATTTATTCACTAAAATCTCTCTAAGCAGTGTCCTCTGACTTCTGAGCCGCAGAAAAAATGATGAGACTTGAAAAGAGCTGATAAAAACTTTGATTTGCTCGTGTAGGTGACCTTCAGTTGTTCCATGAGCCCACAGCAATTAAGTTTTACCAGCAGCAGCAATTGAAATACACGCATTTTTCCCTGAGCTTTGCCTCTCAGGCTTCATACAAGCTAACCTATCTTATTTATGAAGGTTGTTTGGGCATATGCAGCCTGATAAAAAGCCTGCAGACAGTACTTAGGGCAAAAAACTCCTGCACAAAATTAATACTAAAATCATTAAAATACAACAGTTTATTTACAGATAACACTCTCAAAAAGATGCATAAAGTAACCATCAGGTGCCTGTCAAGTAAATTAAACATGATTTAGTTTAGTGCCTTTTTATTTTATTTTTTTATAATATATTTGCTCTGTTTGTTTATTTCTCATTCTCTGTTCTTTTCGTTCTTATATTTAACGTTTAGTGCTGAATTGTAATTGTCATTTACCCATGTGAAGCACTTCATAACTCTGTTTTAAAAGTTCTTAATAATAATACTACTAATACTACTACTACTACTACTACTACTAATAATAATAATAATGTAGAAAGAACAATGACATGAAAAACATAGAGTCATCCCACATCACTAACCCTATGTGCTTGATGGTAAATTCTGATATTTAATCAGATACTTTAATTATACTTTAGTCTCGTTTTCAATAGCTATACAGTTGTCTCACCCAGGGGCCAGCAGGTGGCGTGATGGTGTCTTACTGGAAGTTGCCTCCCTCCAGGGAGAACTTGGAAAGGGCCTCCTGCAGCCTGTGGTGCTCCTCTTCTACAATCTGAAACACACAAAATCAATATCACCTTTGGAACTGAGGACACACACGCGCGGACACGCACACACACTCACACAATTCAACCCTCTCCTCTTAACATCCTCTCTTCGTCTCCCTTGCTGCTTCTGTGACACATCCCATTGCAAGTGCTGGACATAATAGCCATTCTCAGAGACGTCCAATTTCACAATGCAATTTTCAACCAAGCAATAACAGTAGTGGTTAAATGGTTTTCTATTCTCTAGTTTCTCTTTGGTACCATTTTGTCCCTATTTGTCCCAAGTATACCACAGCTTGCTCCTTACTTAAGTTATCCTCAGTGAAATCCTCAATGCTCAGCTCTGCGTCTCTCTCAGTCAGCTTCCATCTTTTGTTATGTCTCTCATCTTTATCTGCCCCCGTCATCCTATCTGCTCCCTGCTCAGTTTCTCTCTATATTCTCAGCTATCTCCCTCTCACTCTTCCCTTTACCTGTAATCTCTTTAGATGTTCCTCCAGACTGCAGAGCCTACGGCACACTTCAACCATCCTCTCCTGGGACAACACCAGGGGCGCACTGATGCTTCTCTCCTCCTCTCCTTTCGTCCCTGCACCCTCTTTTTCACAAGTGTTATCACTCTTCTCCTCCGCTCCTCTGTCTGTGGTCTGGTTTTCTTCTGTGGACAGAAAGACATGATTTAAATGTGTCCATTTTGTTGTCAGTTACAGTAAATTCTATCCAGTAACACTGATATTTAACACCAGTAAAATCTTGAATTGCAAGGCTTTCCTGGTCACAATGTAACTCCTTATATTGATAAATTTCACTGTACTGCCATTTTATGGTGAAATATGTCTCAAAATCCTGCTTTTAGAATTAAAAAGAAGAAAACAGATTCTGCCATTACACTAATTCATTGATCTGGGGAATGTAAAGGTGCACTGTGATTAATGACCCTTTTAAATTTGAATCGCATGCAGGTAAGTTATAAACTCAGTAGACAGAGGGATAGCAGAAAATGGCACTTAGGTTTTTTTTGTTGTTGTTGTTTTTAATGGAGAAATAAAATAAAAAAAAACACTACACTCAATTTTCCAATCATGAAACAGTGAAACAGACATTCAAAAACAATTGAACTTCTATCAATGCCAAGAAGATACACAGCTAAGGGTGCTACCAAAGTAAGATATGACTTTGACTTGACTATATATGACTTTTAAAAGAATAGTTTGGGAAAGACTCTTGCTGAGAGTAAGATGGGAATATCGCCACCATGTCCAGATCAGTCTATTAAATATGAAGCTACAGCCAGCAGTGTTAGCTTAGCTTAGCATACAGACTGGGAGCAGTGGGAAACAGCTATCTTGGCTTTGTCCAAAGTGCCTATCAACACTTCTAAAGGTCACTAATTAACACTTCATATGTTCTTTGTATTATCTGCACAAAATAAAAATAAAAAAAACAATTAAAAACAACAATTTGTAAATTTACGTCATATACCTGTTGATTGACAGCTATCCATTTCTTGACTGGGCCTCTGTGATTGCTCCTCTCCGTTTTCTTCATCAGGCTGCGAGTCTTCTGATAGGCTGATGCTGCCGATCAGCAGCCTTTTCAGTAACATGACTAACAGATGAGAGAGATTCAGTGCTTTCGTTAGAAGGACAGACAAGCTGCAATGAAAGAATGGAAAGACAAGACTGATAGTTATAAAAAAAAGTCATCAACAGAAGTACAGGGAAGACCCTCATTCACCTTCATCCAAAGCACTGATGGCAACCTTCTCCTGATCGCTGTTGGAGTGGCCTATCAAGTCGAAGCCTTTGTCTGACAGGAAATCAATCAGCCTGTGCCTGGGGTCTGAAGACTTTTCATCCGTCAAGCTGTCCTTATCTTGATCTGCAGACGGACACAAAGCTTAACTTTGGCTCAAGCTTTCAGAAATGTGTTACAATAATACATTTGCACTGTTTATTAAGTGTTCAGCTGATAAAGCTCTGCGCTCTCACCACTGATGTTTTTTGAACCTCCATTCTCAGTCGGGCTCAGAGGCGCAGTCAGCCTGACGGAGAGAAAATGAGAAAAGAAAAGAGATATTCAGAGACGGGTGAACTTTGGCAGGCGATGAATATATCTTTCTCTCTTAACAGATGATTAAACACAGACACACTCACGCAGACACACACACACACACACTTACGAGGAGGGACTGAAAGGAGCTCCTCCACCTCCAGGAGGCAGCGTTAACCTCATGGGTGTTCCACTCTTCTTCAGATCATCCACTGCAGTCTTTATCACCTCAGTCCAGCTAAAAACACACATGTAAATAAAATTACAATTCATCCTATGAATTACCCTCTGAAACAAATATGATTACTGTGTATTTCTCTTCATCACTCACGTTTTCCTCTCTACAACAGATTGGGCCACCAGCTCATAGATCTGAGCACCGCTATCCCAGGTAAATATCACGTAGAAGGCCTTTCGATCTGACAGAGCAGGCAAAAAAAAAAAAAAAAAACAACAAGGCTGAGTGATACTTATCTCACAATGGAAGTGACCTGTACAATATTTACTGCTGTGGGCAGCTAACCTGTGGCCACCTCGCGGAGAAAGACTGAGTCTAGCTTGATGATGGGGCTCAGCATCTGCTTGCCCTCCTGCACGGCGATGTTACTCTTGCTCTGGCATTTGAGGACCATCTTGTCATCCTGCCTCTGTAGGAGCACCAGCATGTCCCCTAGCAGCACACACTGCACCTCTGAGAGACAGGGAGGAGAAGGAGTCAGACAGAGCAAAGGGAAAGACAGCAGGGGAAAGGATGGGTTCTCTGCCATTTCAATTCCTCATAAGTAGGTTACTTGTTTTAAGAATTTATATTTATTTGTTAATTTATTACCATTTCCACATATGGTTTATGAATCTATAGCCTTTTTTGTTTTTAGTTCTGTGATTGACAGTGGTTTTACTTCCCCTTCTTCCCCTATCTAGTGTGTGTGCATCTGTTTATCTGAGTTGCAAGCCGCTGCTGTTTGAAGTCGTGCTGTATTGAATTGAATTGAGGTTTAGGTTATTAAATTGAAATGGATAGAAAAAAGGAAGTGAATGGGCTTGTGAGATCTCACAAAATCCCCTTCACTGATGATGGGTTTCCTTTCATAGCAAACTTTAATCTACACATTTGAAAAAGGAAATGAAAGCTTTATAACAGTTTTCTGAATATCCCAAAAAATAGCTTGCTCAGTTATCTTTTGGCCGTTTAGATGCAGCAATCTAAGTGAATTTTATTAAATAAATATCATAAATACTAAATTGAGCTTGACACGTCTGGCCCGAGAAATAATTAAAAAAAAAGGTTTTGCAAATTTTAAAATGTCTGTGAGATGTTGGTCCTTGTTTCTGCAGAAATTGCTGATACAGAAAAACACAAATAAGTTCATGCTGTTTGTATGCAGGTCTCACGCATACACAAATACGTATTTACCAATTGCTTTCTCTTTTGTGACTTTCCAGGTCACAGCACCTTCATAAAGCATCTTCTTCTGAGTCAGGTCAATGTTCTAGAGAAGACAGAGGGAGAATAATGAAAAACCTTCTTGCAACAAAAATGTCAGCTAAAATCTGTTAAGTGCAACAGATAGTGCAAAAAAAAAAAAAACTTTGTTGAAAGAACCTTACCTTATATTCAGTATAAAGCTCATTACTTGGTTTGAGCCCTGATGTGTCCAATCTACGCTGGTAGTCCTTCAGAGTCTGGGAACAAGAAACAAAGATTAGGGGGTCAGACAGAGGACAGACAGCACAGCTCTGAAGTAAAACAACCAGAGACCTTCAGGAGTCTCAAAATGAGTTTACAAGACTCCAATTGGTGCTCAATCACTACCTAACAGTGTGTTGAGTGATGGATTGGGTGTTTCTCACCAATAGGTTCTCCATCACTTTGACCTCCTCATTGACATGGTTGAGGATCTTTCTGCAGCACTCTGCGCTCTGTTGGATCTTCTCCTTCTCTGCCAGGTCCTCTGTGGAGAGACAGAAAACACAGAGTTGAGGAAAATACAGCTTTCACAGCAGAGCCCAGACCAAAGCCATAAATCATGAGTGTACACAAGAGTCTGGGACGGACAGTAATCGATCGTTCAAATGTTTTGCTTGTGTGTGTAAGTTAGTTGTCCACATTTATCTTGTGTTCTGATTTAGATTGAGACATATGGTTAAAAACATTGCCATCTGTATTTTGAACAAAGAATACATCATTCACACTTCATATGTCGCATACTCTGTCTTTTTGACAAACCAAGATATAGGAAATGTAAGATTTCTGGGCATTATTATACACCATGAAACAACATAAATTTGTGTGTTGTTAGAGATTTTGCCATACTGTTTAGACTTAAATATCTGTAGATGTATTAGGCCATTATGAGCAGTGCTGCAAAATGATGAGCACGACTGCTTTATGGTAGTATTGGCCTGATTTGTCAAGTTATATGTCATCTAATTAGGTGAATTAACAGATATTCTTGTTCGCTTATTTCCTTATATTTACCCTAACATAACTGTCAACACTGAAAACACACACGCACGCACGCACACACACACACACACACACACACACACACACACACCTGTGCTCTTGGCAATATTCTCCAGCAGCAATGGGTACTTGGTCAGTCTCTGCATCTCTATAGGAATGATGTCCTTGAGTTGCAGCCTGCGACACTGGGGCTTACTCTCTGCCTCCTGGGATTAAAACACACAGACAGAGTCAGAATGAGAGCGCATGTATGGGACCACTTATGTGACTTCTTGCATGACCTTGCATCTGCGAGAGCATCCATATGTATCTTTGTGTTAAACAGTTTTACTATATGCATGGGGTCCAAACTGGGAGCCCACTATAGTTGTGGGGTCTGAAAGCTTTATGGGGAAAAACATGCTGGACCCCAAAAGTTGAGATGGCTGTTTGATGGTTGAGACCTGGTTTTAAGGGTCCGGTTTTGGGTTAGGTTTAGGGTTAAGCATTTATTAGTCATGGTTAAAGGACCGGCAGGCTGTAGAATTTAGTGGCATCTAGCGGCAAGGTTGCAGATTGCAACCAACAGGCTACCCCCCCTAAATCCTCAACACTGGGCCTTTAAGGTTAGGGTAAGTGGCTAGGTAATGCATTATCTCATTATGTCAACAACTATAGAAAGAGCAACGTGTGTGTGTACAGATAGTGAGTGTATGTGTGTGCTGCATGTTACCAGTATGAAGGAGTTGAAGCGTGGCTGGCTCTTCTGCCTGCTCTTGATCTGGTCCAAGGCCCACGACTGGTGACTGCAGAACCGAGCTGTCAATTTCTGGAACCACTCCCCCTCTGTGCCGCCAAACTGAAATGCACACACACACAGAGAGACGTGCACACACGTGCACGCGCGCACACACACACACGCACGCGCGCGCGCACACACACACACACACACACACATACACACACAATACACTATAGTCAGACTCTGTGATGTGCTTGCCAGAAGTAAAGAATGAGAGGAATAAAGATATGGGCAGAGGGAGAAAGAGCTGGAAAAAATACAGCCTGACAACTAATATAATTTCGTAGCTGTTATAGCCAATATTTTACTTTCAGAGATAAATACCTTTCAGTGTTTGTTAAAATAACAAAGTCAGATTTTGGCACAATTACTGCCAGATTTGGTTGTGAATTAAACTGTCAACACATATCATCCTTAAACCAACACAAACACTGAGAGCCAAGAGAAAAAGGAAGCTATAAAGAGAAAGATTATGATGACTCACCCTGTTGAGCACTGTGGGGCTGATGGATCTGACTATGAAATTGTCATCCCCACGCAGTTTCTTCAGGTTCTCATAGAAGTTATCTGGATTCACAACCAGAAACAAACAAATAATTTACTTTTAAAATAGGGTGAGAAACACTTCTTTATACAGTCAACAACCAATAGAGACAAAAGCATTAATGAAGGGCAAGTACTGAAACACTGAACTCTGTCTGTGGCCTGTGATGTCAATAAGGATATTTTTGTGAGTGATGTCGTTGTTTCTGATTTCTGTATTATTCTCTACTGTGCACCCAGTTACAGGCTGTTCAAAAAGACCGGTACATGCAGTTATCTTTATCACTGGCAACAAATACACAACAAGCAGTTTCTTGTTCTTTGTCCAATTTAAGTTTGGAGTCTAAATTTAGATTCAGTACATAAATGTTTTCGTGTTGGGTGGAGGGCAAGTGCAACCTTCATGTGTCTGACTGTGGGAGGATAAAAACACAAGTCAGAAAAAGGCTTCTATGCTGGAGCACTCACAGTGCATGTCAATGATCTCGTCCAAGTTGGGGAAGATGGCAGCAAGCTCAGTGGCGGTCAGGAGCTCCTCTCTCTCCAAAGGCTTAGAGAAGACCATCTGAAGAACACTTAACATTCGCACGTGGGCATGCTCTGTCGCGAACAACTCTGAAAGACGGCAGAGAATAGGTACAGGATGAGCCATGTTAAAAAGATCTTCAAAATTTGCTGCCTGTGCTGCAGCCTCATTTTATTTGCACATCTGTTTCCTTCTCAACGTGTGCTGCTTCGTCTTTCTTCTCCTCACCATTGATGACCTCCTGCCTCTTGGTCTCCTTCTTGTTGAGTTTGGACAAAGCTTCAGGGAGGGCCAGCTCCCTCCAGTTGGTCGGGTCACTCTCAAATTCCAGGAAGCGTGGCTCCACCTCCTCCAGCTGTGGGGAAGGGCTGGTTGGGGAGTGGCCAGGCCCTTCAGGAACTAAAACCGGTCCCTCGACACTGAGGAATGAACGAAGTGGAAGAAGAATTAGTTTAGATTGGTAACTACAATTCAAACTAAGTATGACTCAGGTGGCTATCAAGTGAAAAACACTTGGGATGTCTTAACATTAGATTATCTAAGGACGTTAAAAAGCTAGCAGGTATCTAGTAGAGCTCTCTATCAATGTCCTGTTCTATTCCTGTAGCTATAATATCAAATGGAAACTCACATTAAAGGTTCTGCAAACTATCGTCACTGCCACTACATGTTGCACTAGACCACCGCATCTCAGACCAAAACAAATGTTTCTTCAGGCAAAGGTAAGGTTCTCCTCTCAGTAAAGCCAGACTTATGTCTTAAATGACTCTAATGGAGCCGACAAAAACTTTTAAAACTTTTTGGAGGGATTTTCTGGCGGTCTACCAGCCAACCGGGGTTTGAGCCGGGAGTCCCAACGGCCAGTCCGCCTGTGCTTTGGTCTTATCTCTTTCTTTGCAGACTTTTTTTTTTTTTTTTAGCTAAAAAGGTGTTTTCTTCTGTCTAGGAAATTCTGGAAGGTGCTTTCACCTGAACACTGTGTATTGTACTGAGCCATCTCGCCTGTGGGCGGTGCCTATGTGTTTATAAACATGGGGAGGACCAATGGTTTAACAGGATGGACTCAAATGCACGAACATGCACATGTACATGCATGAACATGCTACCAGACCAGCTACCAAAACAACGACCAGAGAAACTCAGATTACCACACACACAGGGGGGGTGTGTGACTTCGTTCTCGGCTCAGGACGCCACTACTCCACTATATCTCTACATACAAAATAGTTGTTTGCTGCTATATTATTGTTTAAAATCTCGTTTACAGAACATTTAATAATTACTCCTAGCTGTATTTTAAGATTAACATTGTTTTGCAAAATCAGGCATATGAATAACTACTGAAGCTTACAATGTCTGTGCTTTAGAGTAAACACTATTATGAGAATGGGTAAGTACAAAGGCCATGGTAGTTTTCTGTTACAAAAAAAAAAATCACATGATTCTCCTTTTATCACACTATTAATGAATAACTTGAAACCACACCACCACACTTTTACGTGTTTCATTTTTCCTCTTTTTCCAGCCTTGGTGCTTTACCGCTGTTGGGCTTTATTTGCACACAACCAGCTCCTCCACTGGACCTCCATGATGACAGGAGCTGTCACTCTAAGGATTTTTATAAAGCAGCTGCCATAGAATCATACAATAACATACAACTTCACTGTGGTTAATCGGGATCCTTTACTGTTCCCCTCTGAGTCCTGACATTTACAGTCAACTAACAGCAAGTAAACCCTTTATAATGGGCTGCACTTCATGTTTACCAAATGCTCCATATTGACCTTACTCAATAGTCATTCCCCTAAAGAGCTAAGTGTCTGAACCCGCACTGAGAATGAGAGTGTTGTTACTCACTCCCTGTCGGTCACAGCAGTCAATAGTGAGTCAGTAAACCTGTCAGCCAGATTGATTCATTTCACAGGAGACAACAGACGCGTGCCCTTTAGAAATAAATTGTACTTATCTTCATTAACTGCCACTCCAAGACCAATTTAAATATGCCTCCAAGGTGATCTATACAATAGTTCTGAATGAGCCAGGTACATTTGATCCATCAGTAATAAGCTCTTTATTGCTAATCATTTTGTTTAACTGCTTTCTGGTTATTTCAGGACTGCTGCACCGGCTCTGTATCGTCTTTCAGTTTTTGGCATCCTGTCTGTCCCTGTTGTGCACCTCTCCAGCCAGAGGCTTTAAGAAGAGGTTTGTCCATCTTACGGATGGAGGTGCTGGGGGGTGAGCGGGGCAGGTGATGTTGTCGTGGTAGAAAGCGGCTGGAGGTCCACATCACTACGGGAGCGGGACTGTTTGGCCCTGGAAGAGCCACGGCGACGAGATGAGTGCCGGTCCACGCGAGCACTCTCGCTACGAATCACTTTCCTACTGTAGGGAGGGAAGGTGGGAGAGGATGGGGGAGGGAGGAGAAAAGATAGAAGAAAGAATAAAGGGAAGGAGTATTTGGGATAGAAAAAGAAGGAGGGAACAAATGCAATAAAGGACAGATGGATAAAAAAAGAAAAGAGGCCAAAGGAAGGATGCAGTGTGGAAGGAGGAAACAAAGAGATGCCCAAAGGCAGTGAAAATAAAAAACGTTGTTGATGGGAAGGACAGTAGAAAAGAAAGTATCCCAGTCATATGTAGTCGGTGAGGAGGATAAATAAGTTGAGGTACATTAGTAGAGGATTTATGCAAAATAAAAAAAGTAGTTGTCCAAAAAGGAAATGGAAAAAAGTGACATCAACAAAAGAGAGAAAGAGAGAAAATGAGTCACATTTAAATATGCATGACATGTGACATGCATATATTTGTTAGACAATGAAATGTTTAGAGTATGCTTCATATACTGTAGACATTACTGGGAGCAAATCTAGTACAGTATGTTAAGAGAGTAGCCATGCATTGCTTCTACACAGAGTACTGTTTGTGCCAAATGTTTTTAGTTAGGAAACTTGAATAGTCATTTATCATCTCAACAGTTCTCCAACTTCACACAACGTGCATACACATCCACTACAAATAATCCAACTGATCTCAACAATCAAGCTAATTCTAACTCCTTCACAAGCACATTAAAATACTTAGCCATGTAGTCTGTTTGTGTTATGTATCAGTAAAGGAGTGCAGGGCTCAATGTGTGGTCTGTATGCATTGGAGTGTGGCGTTTTGTGTTTGTACATGTGTGTGATATGTGATCAGTATAAGGCCTGAAGCATGTCCATGACTCTGTCAAGGCGCTGAGACCCACCTTGTCTTCCGTCTGTAAAAACACGGGACACCACATAGTTACACACCCACCTTTACACAACTATTGTGAGCCACAGAAACAACCACAACATGCAAATGCACACCCCAACACAATATTCTAGACAAATGTTTAAACCACTGTCATGGAGTATCATGCCAAATACGATGCCAAAGCCCCTGGCACAACATGTAACCGCACACACTGTGGAGACAAGCAGGACAAAGGACGGGCCCTGGCCACAATAGACACAGACACCTAGAAAAGCACAAGGGACGAGCAGCAAAAATGAACTATGAATTAATAAACTAAAAATATATTTCACTTTTGACTATATTACTAAATAACCGCACAGTGGTTTACAAGATTTAGAAGCACACAAGATTAGCTACAAGGCAAAGCTGCTAATGTTCACATTTTTTAAAGCTTTAGACAAGATATTAGCATTTTTTTTAATGATGGCTAAAATGTCTGATTTAAAACCCAAACCTGCTTACTGGGAAGAAAGCTTCAACATGGAAAGGCTCATCTATAATCAGTGCTATATAACCGTAACAACTACAAATGTCTCAAGCCTAGAAGAAATCACCAGTGTATTGCAAAGATGTACCTGAATCCAATAGAAAAAAACAATGTCTATATGCAACAAAAACAGAAATTAAACTCTGTAGTAAACATTAGGAGATGCACAACAGGACACACACTGAAGAAGACAAATAGGACAGGATGATATTAGGAAGAGAGCACACGTGCCATTGTGGGGGAGAAAAAGGAGGGAATGAGGCCATGAGGGAGAGGGGAGACAAAGGGCAGGAAGGGAAGACTGGGTCCGAGTTCACCTGTTGAGGATCCTTCTCAAAACTGCAGGCTCTGTTAGCTAGCGAGCAACGGGCAGCATGACAAAAGCTAGCACACAGCAGGGACAGACTGCAGCAGGAGTTTTACCACGCTCCCTCAGCCTGAGCACTTCAGACACATTTAGCCTCTGCCCGTTTTCCCCTGGTTGTTGGCTCTATACAGTCTTTACGCTGGAGACCTCCATTTCAATCTAATCATAATCTTATTACAATCTATAATCCTGTAATTGCTTATACTCTCTTACTGAGTCACCGCACTGCAGTTATGATCTCACTTCCTAGATGCTACTTTCTTTATTACCATCTCCAACCTCCTCACCTGTCTTTCTCCGGGTTCTCCTCTGTGGGAGTGTCGTTGGGGGAGGCGGGCTCCCCAATGGTCAGCGCACCGGCCAGCACGACAGGAGACACATCGCCCCCATCTGACACGGTCGAAGGCTCTAAGCGATTGCTCGAGAGGCCTGGAAGATTAGAAAAGGAGGCAAGAGAACAAATGAGGTGTTATATGCCACCATTTTTTTATGTTGAAAGACTTAATTGGTGCTTTCATCCTGTAAATTAACAATTGCATATCAATTATAATGGATACATAAAGTTTATCTATTTACATGTGAGTAAAGTATATCATTTTACACAAGCAAACAAATGCTAATTTTCTTTCAAACTTCAAATGCTGATAACACATAGTGATATACTATTTATAGAACTGTAAGATATTACTACAATAATATATGTTTTAATTTAATTTCTCCTGCTTTAGCATTTACAGTTTGCATTGTGTTTATTTATTTATTTCATTTAAATTTCGCTTCATTTTAAAGACTATTCTCTTTCATTTGAAATTGTTAAGCTCTGTCCCTGCTGAAGAGTAAATTAAGTCCTGCTCACAGACAAGTAACAGGAACTGCTGTCAAAATGTAATATTAATCTCCGTCAGTTTATCAACTGGTTATAATTAGAAACTAAAAGTGGCCCACTCCAGGCTTCATACTACGCAGATGAGCAGGCTTACCATCACTGTGTGAAGACTCGGGGCTGTTGGTGGCGCTGATGTTGTTGCCTGAGCCATCAGTGACCTCTAGGCCAGGTAGGGAGGCGGGGCCTCCGCTGGAACCAGACTTCCTGCTGGGTAGGGAAAGGGCTGCAGGGTCGGTCAAGGAGCCTCTGCTGGGAGCTGGACCCTTACGCTCCTGAGTCACTTTCTCCTTTTCCACTGAGGAGGAGGAAAGAACACGATGAGTTTAGAAGACCTGAACTACAGGCAATGCAGACGCAGAAAAACAAAAGCATTTCGGTCAGTAAAAAAAGGACAGAGTTGTTGTGAGACAAACAAACAGACAAGATGAGTATGGTGCAATCAGGGCCTCTGCAGAAAATTAAAGGGTTAGTTTGGTATGAGAGAACATCCACAATTCTGTGTGTGAGACAAGTGTGCAAAGTGTGAGGCTTTCCGGTGATTAACACACTATATAGTATGACTAATTCTTCTAACACCCACCCTGAAACATAGCATCAACTAAACAATGCCCCACCCACATCCCCTCCCAGTTTGACTTGGAACATGCAGACATGCTTATGGGTTGATTAGTAAGGATGTAACCATTCTACAGATAAAAGAGGGGGTGGGAACTCTAGACGACTTGTACCTTCAGCCTCCATTTTAGGTTTGACCTCAGCTGTAACAGGAAAGAAGGGCAGGACAACATGTTCTCATATCCAGTATATCAAAATATAAAGACACTACAAATAGTTATTTTAAATGTTACTATAATATATAATAACAAATATTTACATCATATGTACATTTAGAGATTTCAATACTTTCACAATCATTCAGAAATCAGTCAGAAATGGACAAAAAATAACAACGTGGTAGGGCTCATATGTGATGTTTGCTGAGACACAAAAGTAAATACATACTGCTGCCTGCGATCCAGCTAATGCCAGGAAACACCCCTCTGGGCTTGGCCTTCGTGGATTCATCTTTCTTATTCTGGAACATAACACAGATAGGGAGTAAGAAAGAAGGTCAAATCAAAAAGACATGTAAGGGCTGCAAAACTACAAATGCTACTCCATAAAGGTTTAATGATGACAGTGCAGTGCATTTGTTGACCTGTCAGATTAGTGTTTTATTTATTCATTGGGTTTCTCTGACAGGAAAAGGCATGTTTACCTTTACCAGTTGTCTCCTGAAGAAACCTCCTCTGGACTTCTTACTGTCAACTGCCCTGGTTTTAACCCCAAGGTGCTTCATGTAGAAGGCGACCGCTGAAAAGATGGATTGGCTACGGTAAAAGGTAGAGTAGTGAGTTAATTAATACTGTTTGTTGCATTATAATGCATTTGCAAACGTTCTGATTTGAAAGATTTATTCAGGATAAATAAAGATTCAATTCCTGGTAATGCTGGAATAAAAATAAACTTCTTTGATTACTATCCTTTGTATATTTCACATTAAAAGGCTGCAATAAAGGGCAGAAATTCTGCAATAGTCTCTGGTGTCACTGATGGCAATGCTGAGAGACTTTTGACAAAATGGATAGTGCAGATGAGGGAAAAATGTGAGGATTAAAAGGAGGACTAACAGATGCAGGGAGGGGAAGAGCAAGGTGGAGACTTGAAGATGTCCAGAAAGGGAGGAGGAGGAGGAGTTGAAAAGAGTGGGGAGGAGAGAACAATATAACACAAAGAGATAAAGGAGGAGCTGAGGAGAAATAAGAGGAGTTGGGTGTAAAAAAGGGACTAAGGGAGGAGCCTCTGGGGAGTGCACACAACAAAAGTACAAGTGTCTCTCATGACCAATCACGGCACAGTTTTACAGAGCGTACTGTATGAAGAAACTGTCAATTCAACATAAAGAAGTTGAATTGCAGAGGATCAGAACTCTTGAGAAAAAAGCATAAAAAAACTAAAGCATGGTTTAATAATTCATGTGCAACTTATTAACCAAGAAATAGAAAATTTGAGAATGCATCTCAGTCACTTGACAAGACACCATTAAGGAGGGGATTGACAATTTTTGAAAAAAGTCCGAAGCTGATAACTTGAGTGTCTCTTGTGCAACTCAATGGAAAGAAATGTTGTAATGAGTATTTAATGCACTTAAACCAGAATGCAAAAAATGTTGTGGTGTGACCACACCCAGGCTTAGAGAGAGCATGCAAAGACTAAATGAGCTCATGTGCACAGATATAACATTAATGCAAATATTCTATATAATATTCTCTTCATTTAAAAAAAAATAAAATAAAAAACTTAACTCACCATTTTTCCTCGTCCGAGACAATTGTTGGTCTGAAGAAAAAAAAAAGACAAATGTCAGTGATGTTATTCCTGCAGAGGAAAAAAAGAAGTGTTATCTTGCAGCATCAAGCTCACCTCTTCTTTTTAAGTAGCATTTTTCCTCTCTCTTGCTCGACTGATTATCAACTGTGTTTTGGGCCGGTGGAATCTGAAGTGGCTAAGCTTTTCCTGATCCAACTTAAAGCTGACTGTAATGTGATTGTGTTCAGAATAGATGCTATGGAACATATTCTAAAATTTGCAAAGAAAAGAGAAAATAAAAAAAAATAAAAAAAAAGATCAAAAAAGTGAGAGATGCATCAAAAGCTGCACCTCTGTCTGTTCAAACTATTTAAAAATCAAACTTGCAACTCTTGAAGATTTGAAAATAATTCAAACTATTGCCTCCAGTCTGTCTAAAACTTTTTTCTGCTCTGGTGTGTCTCTCCAGCAAGCCGTCTGCAAAGGAAATCCAAACTCAAAAAATGCTCCAACGCAGCGGAAATGTCTATTTAACCATGTTTTTGTCTGATGCAACATGCAGGCAAGACTGTGGAAATTGGACACTCATGTTTTGCTATGAACATAAAGGGTGGGAGGGGTTTCCCCGTGGATTTCCCTGCATAATCCAATGAAATGGTGTGGTTGCCTTGTTCTCATCAACAGAAAGACCAATGAGAAGCAGATGGGGGTGAGGTCACTGTGTTGTGGTCTAGTGAGGAAGGGGGTGTGTGTGTGTGTGTGTGGGGGTTACTGGGTACAAGAGTGTGGGAGAACGTAGGAGTGAGGGGAATAGAGAGATGATTGTCAGGGGGAATGAATAGAGCAAACTGAATGAAGCATCTGTGCATCAGAGATAGAGATACAACTGTGTGAGAGTAACTGAGAGAGTCAAAAACTGAATTATCATGTCTTTGATACAGACTGCTTTGCAGGCTTTTTGAGTCCTCTCCACTGACAGCGTGGTTTTATCCACAGGATGAGTGCTGCTTGTGCACAGCACATCTCCTTTCATTTCTGTTGTTCACTTTTTTTTCCTCTTCTGACAAGATGAAGTTAGACAGTCTTCTGCCCTCTCCCTGGCCTCCTCTCCCTCTCTGTTTGACTCGCCTCTTGTAGAGGATCCCACATTGTAGTTGGCCACGGGGTCAAGGATAGATTAACTTTCCCCCTAGATCTCTTTCTTTCTTTCTTTCTTTAACCGTGTCCAGGGTGGGAGCATCGATAACCCTCTGGCCCTCTCTCTCCCCTTCTCTCTTCCGATGTGTAACCCCTCCACCACCACCACCACCACCCCCCTTCCTCCGGTTGGCAAAATGCCACGGGAGAGCCTTCCTGCCAGCGTGGCACTGCTGACTCCATCTTTTCCTCTCTGTCTCCTCATTTCCTTCTTGCTCTATTGTGCTCTCTTCCAATCACTTCAGTTCTCTAGTCCAGTGAGCCTGGTTTTCTCCATCTCCCGCTGTATTTGTCGCTGGGCTTTGTATTGAATGGGTTATGTGCACGGCTGAAGTTGACTATGCCTTCTGTAGAGCTTTGTAGAAAGTGAAGTGCCAGCTTCAGAGGGAACAGATCTGATTTTAAACTGCTTTGACAGACCAGTCATGTTCCCAGCGTAAAGCATAGAGCAGCAGGTAATAGAGAGAAGACTATTTTCCCCACTGTCCAATTACTGTTTGAGAGTTTTCTTTTAATAATATCTTCCCGACAGCTGTGTTGTTGTTTTCTTCTGTGTGAGAATTGCAATTTATTTGGGTTTTTTTTCAGTCATCCGTCAAATTTAACTGATGTTCACAATTCTTCAGGGGCGAAGGAAACGCAAACAGGAACACACAAAAGGTACTTTCTAGTTCCTAGGTCCTCTGGTGGCACAGAAACAGAAACTCTCTGGATGAAAAGGGCCAAATATCGCTCAGTCCTGGATGATTTCATTATACTATAGGTTTATGTAATGTCCATTTTAATTATATCAATTTTAATGTCTGAGAAATCATGTTAGATATAATAAACTACTCCAGTTACTATCATACCAGTTGCTGTGGCTGGGAGCCAATTTGAGGCCCAAATCAAATCTGTAGTGAATTCAAGCTGTTTTGTCTTTGCAATTGGGAACAAAAGATTTAACCTTACGTGCTACAGTCATCTAAAATTTACCTAAAATCCAAATTGAACTGATTTAAATTGCTGCATGGATTATCAGGTTTCTACAAATTTAAAGTTTTCAATCTCACTATTAGCAGCAAGTGCTACAGAGTTGTAACAAGTGAGCACTGTTCTTACTGAAATGCCTCATGGCACCTTTGAGAACCAGATTGTTTTGTACTGTTTTTTCAACAGTGCTAATCCAAGCCTTTGAAAACAGCACAGCCACATAAACTCTTCCTAACACTGCCATAAGAAGCAGGGACGAACACTCACTGTGTCTCAGACATTTTGTCCAGCAGGTTCTCGGCCACAGACTTCTCCTTCATCTCCACCGGGATGCGGTCGGTGGAATAGTGGCTCTCCACGTCGACCAGCTCAGCCTCATTGGGGGTCATACCCATCTTCCTCTTCTGCCTGTGCGAGACAAAGCCGGAGGAGGCAGCAGCAGTTTGGCACACTTGTCAAACATAATACGGAGAGCAGAGAATTGACACAGTATATTGATGCATGTTTTCCCAATTCAGTGAGCAGACACATAATGTAGTTGAGGAGGGCTGCTCAGTGCATTAACATCCCTTAAATATGACTTTTCATAACTGATCCAGGTCCCTTGAGAGTGGCTACTCAACAGAAAGCCTTTTAATTTAGGAAGTCAACACATTCTCACCATCCTCTCCATATTTGCTTATTTGTGTCTTCTCAGGTTTGATTTTCTGAAAAGATTCCTCATGAATGTTCTGCCTGTGTTCATCTAAATCCAAGGCAGCCTATCTAAAAGGTTAAATAACTAACCTAAGCCTTAGCATCACGGCGACAAAGCGCTGAAAAAGATAGTGAGAGATCAGGATGACCTTTTCTCAAAGGAAGGCTTGAGTAATAGTTGCTTGCAGCAGCTTAGCACTTAGATTTTAACAGATGTTATAAAGGTGACAGAATCTGCATTTGAGGCACCTTTTTTTGCACACAGTGAACACAGGTGGGGAGCCTGCAGGTTCTTACTGCCGTTTGGATGAAGCAATGCCTTTTATAATGTCATAAATCATGTTTATGTCTCAAATATGAACATTCAAAGGTAGCTTTCTCTGGGGTGGATTCCTCCTCTAATACAAGTTTTAACTCTCTCTCTCTCTCTCTCTCTCTCTCTCTCTCTCTCTCCTTGCCTTGAAATTAAGAAATAAAACTAAAAAATACTGAACTGCTTTACTGCTTTGCAAAACTGTCAGAAGTCATGTTAACTGTTCATGTTCAAGTTTTCTTGTGTTAACCACAATTAAAATTTGAAAAAAAAAAATCTGAAAAATGTTCAAATCAGCCAAATCAGTTGTGCTGAGAAGCATGAAAGATAACTGCAACACCTAGTCTCTCCAGGCATACATACAGTACATAATATGCTATAATATGCTTATTTTTTAAATCATAGCTAGGAGCATAAGGTCCTTCAGCACATGTCAACAATTGTTCCCAAAGAAGACTGCAGTGATCATGGCCTGAGCTGAATATTGTGGAGCTACATAATGAAAGTCTGGGGTATAATAAAGACTATGCTAGACGGGCTGAGTTGAGTTCAGGTTGGAGGCTTCTTACCTGAAGTCCTCCAGCTGTTTGGCCACTTCAGAAGCCTGCATGAACTGAACATCCTGGGCAAAGCGTCTTTGGGTTTCCTCAGGGAGCAGATCTGGACGGGTTCGGTCTTAGAGAATGTGGACAGCGAGTAAGTCAGAGGTAGTGATACAGACAATGAGAAACCGAGCTGGGTTGCGGTGTCCATAAACGATAAAGAATATGGTATGACTTTAACTAAATATACCACAGGAAAATAACTTACCCAACTCAGAGGACACATTGTATGGTACTGTCACTCTGAGAATCTGTAATTTGGAGCAAAAAAGAAAATAGGTGCAGTGACAGGTATAAGAAAATTATTTATTTAAAGCATATGTAAGGTATAAAGGATTTATGACTGAGAGTTACTGCATCTATTCTTTGTTTTTCTCTATATGTATAGTTTCCTTTTTTTGTGAACCCAAGGAAAAACATTGTGGCATAAACCGATAGGGAACCAAGTGAAGTGATGCAGTAGCTAAATATCACCACAAGGGGTCATTTGAACACTATAAATAAAAAAGACGCCACCAAGAGAAAAAACAGATATTCCAAATGGAAGATACATTGCACCGTCACTGACATGAAAATAACCACACGGGCCAACTTTAAGTCAAAGGGTTTACAGGAGATAGGGTTTAAAAAAAGAGGGGCTAAGAGAGGATGATTCGTCCTAAAGGGCTTTCCCACGATCCTCACAGGAAGCTGTGGGGTCGGACAGACAGGCTGGGAGGGAGGGAGTGCAGCACAAGCCAGCTGAGCTGACAGACATGCACAGTGCATGAGCTTTGAGGAAGAAATATAACAAAGAAGTGACAGAGACCAGGTGTGCCAGGAGAAGTGACAGAAAAAGACGGACAGTGAAAGGTGCTGCAGAGACACAGACTACAGACTGACGACACACAGCCGTGCCCTCACATGCAAACCATGTGCACACAATGTACTCGTCTCCCCTGAGTCCAACTTAGAGACTACAGCTGATTATATCAAATTCCTATTGATACAACACTATGAGAAAAACATAACATCCATATTGCAAAGGCTGCTATATTTTTCTAAACTGATTTTTATCTAATATGTATCACCAAGCACAACAAAGAAAAAAAAAACTGAAAGCAATGGGCTTCAATAGACAGTCTAAAGACCGAATTCATCCAAAAGTCAATCATTATAGGAGCATTGGATGAGTTTCAAAGCAGAAAACCATGCAAACATAATTTGATATGTGAAGTCATAAAGCATCTGCAACATCTGCTAGGGTCATCACTATAAAGTAATGAGTCCAAACAGTGCAGTGGAGGTCTTCACTGACAGAAATTGTTGCATCCTACTCAAAAAGGAGCTGAAATGACCTGAGTTCAAACACTGTCTAAAAAAATGGAAACATATCTCAAGAGGCCAACTGTGCTTCTTTAAAGAGGAATTGTTCATCGCATGTCACTTCATCTCTTAAAGCATCTAGATAAAGCATTCATTCACAAATTGATATATATCTAATAAGATACTGCATTTGTCTCGTTATCAGTGTGATGTCCCTGCACACTCCTGATTAACATAGCTATTTTTATTTACCGTAGGTTTACAATACATTTAATGTGTTTAAACTTTATTCATGCATGCTTCCCTTTTTTGTCACTGTTTTTGGGCCAGTTTTGTGACATTTAGGTTACTGACTATTTCAAATTTGCATGTAGACAAGATCTTGCAGGAAGTTCAGTGCAGTGTGCTACTTACTGCACCCTTGTCCAAGAAGGTGTTGTAGAACTCCACAAATTGCTTCTTGGTCTCTTTGGCACTGAGGGTCCTGAAGAGGTCAGCATGGAGGTAACACAGCTGAGAGAAGAGAGGCAGACAGAAGATCAGTGAGTGCTGATGAATTTCAATAGCTTTTCCACGCTGCTTCCACAATTACCTGAATATTTGAGATCGCTATACACTCACTTGTCAGTTTAGGAAGGAGGATTAGGAAGACTAGGCTAAAATTAATGCCGTGCACAATGACAGTTCTACAGTAACTCCCACCTTCATGAGGGTTATAATGTTCAGTTTGTGTTAAAACTGTATTAAACAGGTGTTGATTCAACTCTATGATCATTTTGGAGGCTGAGATTTGTGCTGCTGTTGAACTGTATTGCATCACACAAAGAGGTGTATCTGTTGCTAAGCCAACCATCATTGATTTGAATGAGGTGGATAAAATAATAAGGACACCTGTCAACATAATGACATCATTTTGATACATAAAAACTAATTTCTGTCAATTTTACCTATGCACGTAGAAGTCAAGGTGCTGACATAAATCGCCAAATCACAGAGACTAACTGGATTGTAATCCTAATGACATAATGCAAAGGCCTCAATCTCTATATTTTAAACACTATAATAATTGTTTTCTATGTGGGACCTTGGGCACACACCAAAACAGAAACCAGCAGACTAAGCAAGCAGCCATTAACTCAACAACACAGACACTACTGTTTGTGTAAACCCTACACAGTAAACACTCTAATGCTGTGGCCAACTTCTATTCTCCACATGGACAAATGTGAGGAAAAAGGAGAACAAGGGAGAGGGTGAGGGAGGGAGGGAGGGTGTCATGGCTATGGGAGGTGTAATTGTACCTGGGGTAGGTCACAATGTCTGCATGCGGAACAAAGGGGAAAGGACAGGCATGCTTTATAACACTGTCAAGCCTTGAAATGTAAACTCTTGTCTAAAAAAGAAATTGGTGAAAGCTCACAGGGTATATGAGTTATGATTTTGCTTTCATAATTAATTAAGTCAATCAGGTGCAATGACTTTGAATTCAGAGTGGAGTCTAATTAACATAAAATCACACACTCTCTCTCACAGGTAAATCACTTGTCTGATCACAGGTATTTGATTTGAGGATGATTAGTTGAAAGTTGGCTGAGGGCAAAGCTTTGTCAATATACAGAAAACCTGTATATACTGGAACTACTTGTTCTCCATTTAGCTGCTTTGGTTACCCTGGGACTCCTTAAGATGGTGCTCATCTTGCTCACCCTGACAGCCCTAACAGACTCTGTTGACCAGTGGAGCTGCCACATTCCCACATCTCACTTTGTGAATCACAAGTTTTCATAACATGAAGGCCACAACAGAGAAAATCAGACCCCTGGTTGTAATAATTTCAGCTGTTGAAAAACAATAAAATGTGTTTTGGAAGAACAGTCATTAACAATTAAATAAGTAGCATCTCTATCCTGAGCAAATTAATTTTCATTATTATTCTAGCCACAATCGTGCAGCTCTTTAAACGTTCATCTTGGACTGTGACCTGTCTCATGTAGTAATGCACCGATTCCATACAGTGGAGCAGCATCAGCACCTATAGAGTGACCTTACTAAATGGAATGGGCATCTTTTCTGTCTAAAGGCAGACACAACAACTGCAACTAATGATTATATTTATTATCAACTAATCCACCACTTAGTTTTTTTTTTGATGAATCAAAATTTCATATTTCATATTCCCAGAACCCAACATCATATATTAAATTGTCATTTTATCCTGGCCAACTGACAGAAAAAAACATTTAATTCAAATATCGTTGATTAATTTTCTGTTAAACACACACACACACACACACACACACACAGATAAAAATGCACTCAACACTTGGATTATAGGCGTCGCAGTTCTCACCATGGGAGCAGGGTCAAACTGTAAAAAGACATGTTGCATGAAGATCAGCAGGTGGGTTGGCCGATCTTTCAACAAATCTATATGGTCAAAGAGTGCACACTGGTCTTCCACCGCCTGCGATAGGGAGACGATGAGAGAGAACATGCAAAGAAAAAATTTAATTGGGCGATGATAATAAAATGACATTCAGCTGCTATGAGTCACTCTTTTATTCACTCACATCGTTCAGATCATTCTCGAAATCCTCATCCTCAGCCCCAATGATGCTCATGGCTGGGTTAGAGCACTGAGCCCCAAACACACCCTGCTATGGAGACAGAGAGAGAGAGAGAGGGAGGGAGAGAGAGAGAGGGGGAGAGGGAGGAAGAAAACAAACAATTAGCAAACCATTATGTGCTATACTTTCAATGGGTAAGCTATCTCTCTTTGACATGCTGAGCCCCCGCTGAGCAGAGCCAGACATAAAGCCAAATTAAGGTTTGGACAAAGTGAACTTTCCCACTGAAAAATAACATCAAGCGGAAGGAGGGAAACCGTCCCAGCATGCAATCCGGCTTCGTGAAGAGAGAGACGGCCTTAATGTGTCATATCGCTTGTGGTCCTTGAAATAAGTAGGCTCCCATTCATATGAGCCAAGAGAGGCAAAGGAATAAGCTTTGGCTACAGGTAAAGAGTGCTGCACTTGTCTTTTATCATGGACAACTAACTTTGCTTCATTCTATTTAAATAATGGCTTGAACTATGATAATCCAAAACCACTGACAAAGCATTACTTGAGTTCAGTAAACCTTAATTTCTCTTGGAATAAATCATGAGGCTTCTGGGAATGGGACACTGATAATGAACTGATAATGAAGCAATTAAAAAGGTTTTTAACTAAATAATCTCAAGTATTTTATTAAGCTTGGTGTCCTCTGTGCAGTGCTGAAGTCCTCTTCCCCGAGGCTAGACTAAAAAATTTAGTTTGGGTGTTGAACTCTGGGGAACAAATGATTCGATGAGTAACACACAGTGCGAATTCTCTCTAAAGTTTGGCCAGATCTTGCCTCTGGAAATTGTTTTTCAGACTAGTGTTGGGTTCAGTAATGCACTCAGAAGAAAACCCTCATCTAGTTGCTATGACATAAACCCTCCAGGTCTAAAAATGTAACTAGACTGATCTGAAATTAAAAGGTTTATTTATGCCAATCCTTGCCTTTGAAGTCCATGAGTGGAGGGAGAAAAAAAAAATGCATCGGAGTTGGTGACCAATTTATCCCTGCCCTTCACACCCCACACCACTTCCCCTGCACGCATACACACCCAAAAAACACAAACAACACATAGCCCTTGTATTCAGTTCTCTAAAGGCCGCAGACCCAGCGCCGCCACCAGGGAACACCCAAACGCACACAAATGAACACACATCAAAAAAAACCAACAGCTAGACCGTACATTTACCATTGTCCACTGCTAAGTAAGTACAGAGGGCAATGTAAGAACAGAGCCAAAGAGGTGTAAGGTGAGTCAAAGTAATGAGAGGAAAAGGGTGTCAATGGTCCCTGTAGAGAAAAAAGCCTTGAGAAACAGTAAGGAGCATATTAAAGATTTTATCAGGAACTTATTGTAAAGACTCATGAGCAGAGTCGTCATACTAGTCAAAGCTAAAACACTTCTCTTATCATATATCTTACCTGATTTTAGTTAATCCAGCTCCCTTTTATTTTATCCAGTCATCCGTGTTAAAAGCCCGTCTTGATTTATTTTGTTTTGCACTGTTGTCATTGTCTGTTTTGGCTTTATGTTGTAATGCACTTTTTTGCTTTTAGATTGTAAAGCACTTTGTAAATGTTGAGAGCATTGCTCTAGACACAAAATTCATTGTTATTATTTTATATGGCAAGAAGTTAATAATCCCAGCCATCAGAGGTTTTCTATACCATGGTAGCTGTCCCTTTAATATTTCTGGTTTTTGGGTTAATTTCTGGTCAAGACAGTTTATGGCAATATTAGATTTGCATGATTGGTGCATCAATGTGATGAAATAACTTGATTTGTCAAATATATGATAAGATTTGAAAAGGCAAAACCAGATAGTCCTCCATGGTAACTTTATCTATATATGGTGTCTATTTATATTTTGATATTCATCAAGACAACATAAAATAAAATACACCACAATAGAAGATTTTATCCACATCATCCAACCTTTCTATGCATTTCTAAAACACTCAGGTGATTCATGTTCATTATGTTCTTTGGATGTGTCCCCCAATTAATAATGTAAAAATGTTCAATATGAAATTCTAAATTATTCTGATTAGATATGCAGAATTAATAATAGATTCAGATTTGCTAATAAATTTGAACACAGTTGGTAGTTGAGTCAATTAAAGCATGTTTTTGTACATGTGAACACAGTATGTCTAATTATGCACGTGCGTGGTTATGCAGACCACACATTCACATTTATTGCAAAATTACTTAGTGGTTAGAGTTTACATGGAAATGCGACTGTGTACACAACCACAATTCGATTTATGGACTGAGGACAGTGTATCTGTATGTGCACAGTGGTGGGCAGGATGGCTGACAAATACTTTCAGGTCAAGGTGAGTTCTTGTACAGAGACAGAGAGAGGAACAGAACTGTTAGTCAGGAGAGAGAGAGAGAATGTGTTCATTCATGGCCATTTCCAGTGGGCTGCGGGTTGAGAAAGGCCAGTGCTAGAGCAACATGCGTAGGAGGGGTTAGCTAAACAGAGAGACACAGGAGCGTCAGGGCCACGAACGGACATCAGCATCGACATACACACACACAGAGCCACCGAGCACTTTACCAAAGTGAAACTTTCACAGAGACATGCCTCCTCTGTCACATATACACACACACACACACACACAGCCACCGAGCACTTTACCAAAGTGAAACTTTCAAAGCCACCTTACCAAGACAATGAAGAAGTTGTTATGTCACCATGACAACCACAGATATAACTGCTGCAAAAACAGCTCTAGTTATTTCCTGGTGGAAAGATAAGATGCTTTCACTGTTTTCTTTCACTGACAGTGTGGTGGATTAAATGTGAACCATCAATTTGGTCTCTAGAACCTCACGTAGCAAGATTGATCTGTCAGATTAATTTGTCTGTAGATGCACCAACTTTGTTTATTCTGTGTCATCTGTAAACATATGTCAAGTCAATTTTGTCTGTAAAGCTCAAAATCACAAATGTTCCTAAAAGGGGCTCAACAAAAGACTCCTTCTATTATTGGATCTGTGACACAGATGAGATTCAGATTTGGATTAAAAATCCTAAAATTTTATGTCAGAACTGTCAGAACTAAATAAAGTGAGTTGGGCCACAACTAAATTTATTTTAATCTGGTGTTTTTTTCTGTTTCCTTCTCACTTTGAGACTTAAATCAAGATGCAAAAGCAGAAGATGCTTATAAAACCTTGAGGAAAGCTGACTTTTAAAAACATTGCTGCTACTGTCGCTGCCTCCTCATTACAGGAGATGCTGAAGCCAGTCCCCTGTTATTGGTATGATATCGGAGTAACTGTAATGCATGTTGATACTCTGAGAGACAAATTGAAGTAGGCAGGGGGGAAACTAATTGTGGTTACTCAGATGGAAGTAGGTAAGGTCAGCTCTGCTCTGAATTTAAAGAGCACAGGATTATAGAGGGGCAGGAGTGGGAGCCTCCTCTGCCCAGGAGGAGCCAAGTGGTGCATTCCAGCATATGGCACAGTTCAGACAACAGATGGAGACAGTCTGTGAGTTTCAACAGTAACCAGACCCTCTTCCCTTCACCTCCATTAGTGCATGATAGAGGGCACACGCTCCAAACTATGAGGGTCCTTCCTGGCTGATACAGACGCAGCTGAGAGGAGGAGGAGGGGGGCATGAGTATATAGTATTTAAACAGAATGTCCCAGAAGTGCAGAGATCAGCTCTGGTGCTCCTGAGAGTAGGCAGCTGCCCCCCACTCACCCTTTCCCCTCCCTCCCATCACATTCCGGGACTAACTAAGTGTCAGGTGGCATCAATCTGATGATAGCCATCAAGCGTACGTGCCTTTGTGTGTGTGTGTGGGTTAACACTCAGCACGTATGTGGGAGGGGGCCATTCCTATGTGATTGTGGGGAGCTGCCGGTGAACGTACGTGTGTATGTGTGTTTGTGTGTGTGTGTGTTTGTGTGTGTATGTGTGTGTGTGTGTGTGTACGCGCGTGCGTGTACTATGACAACTGGTCTTTACAGCAGCATTCCTCTCCATCCCTGACCAGGCTGAGGTCTAATACTGTACATAAGCAACTGAAAAACTGCACCTGTTTCATCATTCAAACAGTTTAGCATTTCATATTTCCACCAGGTCACTAAGAGGTTACACACTGCAGCCTAATAATAACCGAGTCCCTGTTACATCAGCTCTTGTGCAAACCCGATATCCATTGAGAAATGGTTAAAACAAGCCGTTTTCCTGTGAAACCCCTCTGGCCAAGAAGAGAGGAGGAGTCAAACTGTGACCTCACCCCGAAGTGGGCATCTTCAGCGTCCATACCGTGATCGGAGGAGGTCGCACCTGTCAATCAAGCTCCTGTAATAACATGATGGTGACTGTCAGAGGGAAGTGTGATAAGTTTGCTGGAGCTGGACCAGGACCAGGTCAAATGATGCAGGTGCTTTTCAATGACAAACAGTGCCACAGTCAACATCACAGCGTGTAATGAGTAAAGGTGTGCTGATACCATTTTTTTTTTTTTTAGAACCAACCGGAGCATGAATTTCATCATTATCATTGAGTGATAATCCAGTTAATTGGTGCACACAGAGAATCCCCACAACACAGACTTTTACTACCAAGACAGGTGCCATAGATAGCACTGATACACAATCGTACACAGAGACAAACAATGTAAGGCAAAAAAACATACACAAATACTAACATATTCAGTCAGAATTAATGGGAAAAAAATTCCATAATATCCCAAAGGCTTATTACTCTTTTTGTTGTTTAATACACTAAGTGACTTGAGTGGAGAATTCAGTTCCAGGAGAAAAATGGCAAATGTCTGTTTGTGAATAAAGAATGTTGCATATAGAATAATGAGATATTCAAGATCATATAATATGATCATTTGGATTATTATTAAAAAAGTAAGACTCTAGGTCTTTCCGAAACTTTTGGGATATTTCACACATAGAAAATATATATCAATGTATAAAAATTTGGTAATAAGTCAACTAGCAGAATATATATTATGCAAAATTTTAAAATGAACTTCCTTAGCCTTGTTTGATATACAATATTTATGAGGTAAGTGCCAAGCCCCTCTCCAGTTGATCTTGCCTCTGGGTACAGTTTTATTCTTTCTTTGAAAAATTTGGCGAATATGCTTATTGTTACATTTCATATCTGTCAGTTTAATTCCATCATTCAAACATCAATAAAGACTGTGTTACATTATTCTCACCATAACTTGAGTTGAATTAATCCATCTGGAATAGCACAAGTTTAAAAATGTAATTCTCTGCAAGGAATTGGAAAACTGTGTACAGACATAAACCGTTGCCATGTTCATCAAAAAGACTGGCAACATTATCAACGTCTCTTTGGACCCAATTAAGAAAGAATAAATACCTGTTTCTGATAAGTATAACTCAAATACACTGTGACATTACTGTGGGGTGTGGTTACAGGGGGTTAAAATTCGCAAACATCAATAATTCTGGGTGTGGCAAAATTGTCCAACTTTGGCACCTTGAGGGTTAGAACCTATAGAAGCTGTGGTAGACAGCAATGCACACCACTTCTATCTTCCATCTACCCCGCAGGCATCTGACCCAGGGACACTGAGATGGATGGGATGAAAGCAACATGCAGATTCCATTAATTTTCAAAGGGATTGGCTCATTTTTTAAGCAAAAAGAAAAACATATGCCATCTGTATGATCTAAAAACTGCTATAATCATGGACCAATTCTACACACAGTGGCTTTATGTTAGATTGATATGTTAATATATTCAATATTCATTCATTCAATATGAAAGTGAGAATTATTTGAACTCTTAAGTGTAGTGTTGAGGAGGTCTCTCCATAGGAAAACGATGCCTCAAGCCAGCGAGTGCAGTTCTGCTGTTGTCCATGGTGCAGGCAGCTAAATGCAACCCCCACTTGTATTAGGCTGCATTAGTTTTAGCTAGCTGGAGTGTAGATTACTAGATGCACCTGGCCACAGATTCCATTGTATGAGCTCTCTCCTTACACTTGGTCACAATAGGCTGCGTCCTGTCCTCTATATGCAGTACCCAAAAATAGCCCAGCAGCTAATGGCTATAGCTTGCTGTGTTTGCACTGCTGTTTATCTGGCTCTCTCATCAGGCCTCAGCCTCATTAGCAGTGACTGGGGAGATTCCTACCAGCAGCACTGCTCCTCCAGCTGCTGCTCCCTGAGGCGCCTGAGCAAAGAAGAAGAAAGGGAAAAAAAAAAAATGGGGGAGTGGAAGGTGGCAAATGGGGAGGCACACAGACAGGAAGTAGGTGTAATTTCCTCAGGAAGCTATCAGAGCCATTTCCTGTATGACCTATCAGATTAAAAGAGGGAGAGGGAGAGAGAGAGAGAGAGAGAAAGAGATAGAGAAAGAGAAAGCGAGGCAGAGAGAAGGAGACAACAGCAGAGAATGAGAAAAGGTGAAGAAATAAGAGCCCACAAATGTTTCCGTAGGAAACAGGACAGAAAAAACTGCCACTCGCCTCTAAGTGCACATGGGAACCAGAAAGGGAAGTTACCGCACAGCAAGAACAAAACCCAGTGACGAACAAATGAGGAACAGACAGTTCATAAGAAAAGAGTTTCAACAGGAGAAGGTGGCCTTCAGGGGTTATTTGAAGTTTTTGCTGACATTTGCATTTTGATGACCTCATGATATGTTTGATTGCTCAATAATTTGTTACAACAACACTTTAAAAAAAGAGATGAAAGGCAGATCCTAAACTACATGAAATGCAGAGACATATATGTAACTTCATAATCTTTTTTCCACATCGTCACAAAATTGTTTCTAAATGTTTCATCACCCAATTTATTTTCTGTGGCTTTTCTGACAGTTCCAATTGCAATCACAAACTTGTACGACTCCCATGACCAACATGACTGTGGCTGCAAACACTAGCCTATATGAACCCTATAAAATGAACAGAGAAAGAAAGCCAGGGCCTCAGTGAGGAGGTGGAGGAGGAGGGGAGGTACGTGGAGAAGAAATTAAAAGAGGGGGCACACTGCAGCAGGAAATGAAGAACAAGGCGGCAACAGTGGAAAGAAAGGGAAAAAAGCAATGGAAAAAAAAAAAAAAGAGTGAGAAACTTTGGAAAGTCTAACAAACACAGAATCATCCAGAAACTGAGTCTGAGCAACGGACTACACCTGAAAGCTTACAACCTATGCATTTGCTTCCAAATACACCACACAAAAAACAAACACATACACACTAGATGCTTTCAACCTTGACCAAATGGTTCTGGCTGCAGCTGGCAGAATTGACAGCAAGCTAGCACCTCAGTGAAAACAGACCCAGAGGCACCTAAAAGAGCCTAAAAGAGCATATGTGTGAGTGTGCATGTTTTTATATTTTACATGCAGGATGCTGCCACACAGGGATGGTTACAACTGCAAGATGTGTGCAAAAAAGTAAGCTTATAGCCTAAATGTGCATGCACAATAGGATGGAGGGTGGCAGCAGGGTTAGAGCAGGACCTTAGGAGTAAAAATGCCAAAGTTAATTCCGTGTAATGAAGGTAAAGCTCATTTGTCATGTGTACAAACAATACATGTAGTGAAATTCATTGTGGTATGCTCTCATGGGTGAGCTAAAAGAATAGTGTGCAATAAATTCTAATTAGAATAGAAAGTGAAATATCCAGCGTTTTGGCACTTGACTCATACTAGTGACTGAAAACCAGCCGGGGACATCGCAACCTCTACGGCCTCAGTTTTGATCAAATCTGTCTGGATCCAGAAAACAAAAGCATCTTAGAATATTGACAAAAAACAACTTGACTCTTAACTCACAGAGATGAGACATTTTCAGATAACAAGGCCTGATGTGACTGAAAATCTCCATGTTAGTTCAAAGGGCAACAAAACAGTGGTCTGAACATTACAGAGGGCAAAGATATCCCAGGAATCTCGTCACTGCACTGACGGTAAGCAAACAGAGCAGGACAGGGTACACTGTGAGATACTGAAGATAGAGTAGCATGGCAGATAGTGTGTGCGAGGGAAGTGACATCAGCCTATGCCTGAGAGAAGGAGCGGCTCATCTGTGGTAGAAGTGTAAGAATATGAGCCGTCAAACATTTTTTCCGTCCTCTTTTTCACCACCACATCCTCCTTTCTACTGCAATCCTTTCTTTCGGTAGGTTTCATCTCTGTACATCTTATGTTTCATTTTCCTTTTCCTCTCTCTCTCTTAACCTCCCTCCTTCACCTACAGCCCAAAATAAAGCGGCCCCTTGTACAATCGCTCCAAGACAGCCAGTGCATTCATGGCTGGCAGACAAGGGTCAATTATGTAATTTAACGACCATTACGTAGTGGCTAAAATAAGATTATGGGCAATAGTGCCGAAGAGGCAGGTCTTTTCATTGCTGCACAGGCTCCTACCTTACATGTTGTTCATTTTTTCTACTACAAGTCCAAAAGGAACCGTGCTGTTGAATCCCTCCGGATTCCTTGAGTTTTACTGCAATGACCTTTTCGTGATATGATTTTATTTGGAAACAACTGTGGCAAAGAATCATTGACCTTCTTTTCATATGATTTCAGTTGAGTAGACATTGCTCTCAGAGGTTTTTAATGATGCTGAACAGCCCCCACCCCCAAAAAAAATCCCAGTGCAAGACTCCCCAACCTATGTTAAGATTTTAGAGATGATGTTAAACAAGGTATCCCACAAAAATGAGCTACGGCTGAACTTCCTCCCTTCTTCTACAGCCATGCATATTCACCAAGGCGTTCTCTTCACTTTCTCGTCTCTCCTTAGAGCCAAAGTACAGTTCACTCTCCTGCTCCAACAAACTGCCACCCCCACCCAAACCCACCCCCTCCAACCCTCTCACTCTCTCCATGTCCCCATATAGAGGTCATTGGCTTCATGGAAACATTTGATAGGCCGGGGCCAATCGACTGGCATGGATTGGCAGTTCAGAGTGAACCTCCAGCTTGGCCTAACTGCTTCCATGTGTGCGTGTGTCTGTGTGTGTCTGTGTGTATGTGTGTGTGTGTGTATGTGTGTGTGTGTGTGTGTGTGTGTGTGTGTGTGTGTCTGTGTGTGTGTGTGTCTGATCAGTAATTGCTAAGGCCAAACACAAAAACCTCTGATTAGCATTTGGGACAAAAGCTGCTCCTCATTCATTAACAAGTATGTTCTGTTGAGTGTTTGTGCATCCAGCTTTCATTTGCATCTGATTTTAAGACGATACCAAACAAAGCAGCCATACCAAGGCTCCTGCTGAATATTCCTGGAAGGAATTTCGCCTGCCTAGAATCAAAGCTGAGGCTAACATTGCCAAAAATGCCTCTGTACTTGCACACAAG